GATTTTCTAGTTTGATATAGAAAACTTTTTGGCATCCCTGTTCAAAATATACTACCGTGCAAAAGTTTTAGGCAGGTGTGAAAAAATACTACAAATTAAGAATACTTTCAGAAATAGTGTGTATAGTGCGTTTTTATAAGTTAACAAAATGAAAAGTAAATGAACAGAAGAGAAATCCAAATCAAATCAATATTTGGTGTGACCATGTTTTGCCTTCAAGACAGCATCAATTCTTCTAGGTACTCTTGCACACAGTTTTTGAAGGAACTCGGCAGGTAGGTGGTTCCACACATCCTGAAGAACTAACCACAGATCTTCTGTGGATGCAGGCTGCCTCAAATTCTTCTGTCTTTTATGTAATCCCAGACAGACTCTATGATATTGAGATCAGGGCTCTGTAGGGACCAAACCATCACTTCCAGGACTCCTTGTTCTTCTATACACTGCATATAGTTCTTAATGACATTGGCTGTATGTTTGGGGTTATTGTCCTGCTGCAGAATAAATTTGGGGCCAATCACATGCCTCCCTGATGAAATGGCAAGATGGATAAGTATCTGTTTGCATTCCTCAGCATTGAGGATGCCATTGATCCTGATCAAATCTCCAACTCCATTTACAGAAATGCAGCCCCAAACCTGCAAGGAACCTCCACCATGCTTCACTGTTACCTGCAGACACTCATTATTGTAACACTCTCCAGCCCTTTGGTGAACAAACTGCCTCCTGCTATAGCCAAATATTACAAATTTTGACTCATTTGTCCAAAGCACCTGCTGCCATTTTTCTGCACCCCAATTCCAATGGTTTTGTGCATAATTGGGTTGCTTAGCCTTTTTTCCATGTCAGAGGTATGGCATTTTTCCATGAAGACCACTTCTGGCCAGAATTCTCCAGGCAATAGATGGGTGTACCTGGGTCCCACTGTATTTTTCCAGTTCTGTGCTGATGCCACTGCTGGACATCTTTAAATGTTGAAGGGAAGTAAGCATGATGTGTCTTTCATCTGCTGCATTAAAGTGATATTAAAGCTTTGTTTTTAATTAAAATAATAAAAATATTATACTTGTTAACATATTATACTTATTAACATTGGTTTTGCACAGTGCAGCCCCGATCCTCCTCTTCTTTGGTCCCCTGCTGGCGCTCCTGGCTGATTCCACCCCCCTCGTTTAGGGCAGGCATGATCCTGAGCCTCCCTGTCTGTGTCTATTATCCCTGCTCCCCTGCTCTCTCATCACTGGACTAGATTGACAGGGGCGAGAGCCAATGGCTCCCCCTGCTATCTATCTGCCCAATGAGGGGGGACAGAGGCAGGAGAGCCAGAACTCTTCTGCACAGTGCTGGATCGACATCAGGCTCAGGTAAGTATAAGGGGGGAGGGGGGAGTCTTTAAGTTGCCTTGACTGACCACTACATCTGCAGTCCTCGAACTTGCCCATTTCCTTGTGCTTCTTCCAAAGAGCTTGAAACATCACATCTTGAAACCCCAGTCTGCTTTGAAATCTTTGCCTGGAAGAGACTTTGCTGATGCTGTATCTTGTGTCTTGCTGTGCTCTGTCCTTGGCATGGTGTATGACCTGTGACATGAAATGGTCTTCCACAACCTCACCTTAGTAACAGAGTTTGGCTGTTTCTTGCCCAGTTTTATGCCTCCTACACGGCTGTTTCTGTTTCACATAATGAATGTATTTCAGCCTGCATATGAAATTGAGCACCTGCTTGGTATAACTGGTTAATCATACACCTGACTCAAATCCTACCAAGTCCCTGACATTGTACAAGTGTGCAAGTGTAAGAATTGATGCTGGTTTGAAGACAAAGGATAATCACACCTGACATTGATTTGATGTAGGTTTTTTTCTTCTGTTCACTCACTTTGCATTTTGTAAATTTGGTAAAAATAAACAATTAAAATGTATATTTTTGAAAGCATTCTTACTTTACAGCATTTCTTCGCACCTGCCTAAAATGTTTGCACAATACCGTGTAGATATGTATTTATGGAATATGCAAACTTATTTTGTTTGCAACTATACTTGCCTCGGGGCATATTGAAGAAAATACTTCTATTGTATTTTTAAAAATGTGTATATAGTGGCTTATTCATCTGTGAACACGTTCTTGTTGACCACTACAACTGCAAGCCGGACACTTTTTTGATTGATTACAAAAATTGATGATCTCGTCCTCCACATGAATTTATAATAATCCATATTTACCAGTATATATGAAATTATACATAGATGGTCCTTAGGCTCTTTATAACCATGTAGGGGTGCCACATGTATACTGTATATAAAAACACATCAAAGTAGAATTTTGTATGGTTAATATGTGCTATATAGCATGATGAGATTGAAGGTGTAAAACTACTGGACTGATTTCCATCTGTCTTTGAATTGCTATAGTCCATCTGCTGCTTTACAGGCTAAAGTAAATGGTTTCCACGTTTTTCTTATATGACGACTGCAGCTGCTGAAAGGAAAGCTTTTCTCCTTGAAATGTGAATTTTTATAGAATTATTAATATCTGCATATCTACAGGAAGCTGCAAATTACTGTGCTTGGCTTTTGCTGCTGCCTATATCACATTGCGGTTGATTTACTAAAGGCAAATACACTGTGCACTTTGCAAGTAAAGTTGCTGCAGAGCTTAGTAAATAAAGTAAAACTTCACTTTGCAAAGAATACCCAATCACATTCAAGGAAAATAAAAATATAGAATTTTTGCTTGTACATGTTTAGATGATAGAAGTCATCAGTTACTAAGAAGCTCATTTACTAAGCTCTGGAGCATCTGCAGAGTGCACAGTCTATTTGCCTTTAGTAAATCAACTCCTATATGTCTTCTTCTGAAATTGTATCATATGCTTTTTATAGGCAAATATGTATACATATAGACTACGCATACTTCCAACTTTTTTCTATGGTTGAACTGGATGGACTTTTCTCTTTTTTCAGGCAGATTAACTATGTAACTATGTGATGGTATTTAGGGGAATATTTAGGGGCCCTTTATATGAGAGCTGAGTTACAAATCATCCAGATTGGAAGTGGAATATTTAGGAAGGATCGGTTGGTCAGCTTTTATGGTCACAGGGCTATTTTTTTTAATTTTAGCTGCTTTTATGGCAGATCATTATCATTTACATGTGTTTTTTGATCTAGTAGTTTCTTGATGAGATGACATTGTGGCTCTCTGCGTGCAGGAAATTGCTGGGAAATTCACACTAGGCATAAAAAATGCCTTTAGCTGTCTATGTGCATTAACCCTAAAGGTGGAACAGAATATTTGTTTACTCTGTTATGAAAAAATTACACTTCTGTTTTTTTAGGTGGGGTTTGGTGGGCTTCCTGGAGTTCTGTATCAGGGTTCCAATTGACAGTAATAGGACTGCCTGCATGGGGTTGCTCAGAACACCTTTGCATCCCTGTGCAGGTGAACACAGCTCTCTATTAGTGCGCGGCCCTTGTGAATGAAGCCTTTAACTACACTGCATCACAGACTGGCTTTCTTTAATTACTTTATACTTTTGTGCTCAGAGTGTAATCATGGATACTTTGTGTTTAGACTTCAGAAAACTCCAAAATACATTCTTCTGGAAAACGTGAAAGGATTTGAATCATCTGAAGCACGGTAAGACTAGAGTTTGGTTTAAATATTAGCTATAGTAATAACACAAAGTTATGCTAACACACTTCATGGTGTGAATGAATACAGAATAATGGAAGGACTGAATTACTTACCTTTCCTAGAGAATTTGTTTTGGTCCTGGCCATAATGTGATTGGGAATTTGGTCATACGATCTGTGCTAAAGAGGAGGGTCAATTGAAGAGACCCACTCACCAAATTGCAGTTAAAAGCTTAAGGTGATTGCAGCCGTATTAGTGCACTTGCGACAGAAACAATTGAGTACTGACGTGATACTTTTTTTATTTGCACTAACATACAATTTTGTGTAGTAGTACTGCCTGGACCTTGAAGAAGTGGACATCCCCCGAAAGCTTGTCCTCAAAATTGTATGTTAGTGCAAATAAAAATCACGTCACTACTCAATTGTTTCAGTTAAAAGCTTAAAAATCTCACATATTTTTAATGCTTGCTTGCAGTGTTTTAATTTTCATATGTTTTTTTTTTTAATTCACTTGCAGCGGGGCCACTGAACTTGCTAGAAAATTTGACTAGTCAGTTCCCTAGAACAGCCTCCTCCCTCCTTGCATGTCATAACCCTCTCATTACCTGGGAGTCTCTAATTACTGTCTTTGTTAGCCCATGTTCTGCCACTGGGAGAGTCTGCTGGAGCTATGGACATCAGATCCAAGATGGTGGCGCTCAGCAGCACTCCTAGGGCCTTGAAATGTCTAGGCAAGGGAGGCTTTTAGAGGTAAATAACACGCATAACATATATTAAATGCACATATAATCTTATGGCAGATTGTTGTTGAAATTGTTGGTTTGGCAGCAGGGTCCTTTAATCAGAATTCTGATCTTCCCCCATTAAAGAATATATAAACCCAACATGTCATATTCCTGATATGTGCCTGCTGTACCATGTACTTGTATGAAAAAGTATCTTGTTTTTTTTGTACTGCTTTCTTTGTGTGTAATCCCTGGTGTTCCTGCCAGTCCCTCTGTTTTTCTAATAAAAGCTGACCACACTAGGTAGGAGAGCACAACCTGGTCTAGCTGTGCTAGAACCTCAGCCAGCTCTCCTCCAATGATCAGACTTGTCCTGACACCCCCCCTGCACAGCCTTTCACTGGGAAGGTTAGTGTATGTTGTTCCCCTCCCCCAGTTCTTATGCAACTGAGAACAGAGGGTATGTGATCCCTTATAAAAAAAAAAAGGGGGGGGGTATTTATATTGTTTTTTATATCTATACATAAATGTTTTTGCCTTTCATTTCTATTTTAAGCTAAATGGGCTATTTTACAAGGTGAGGGTTTACATATACTTTTAACAGAGATCACATGACTAAGTGTCCAAGCCTTCACCCATGTGGCAAGGGTACCAACATTTTCTCAAGTCAAGGTAAGTATTTCAATTCTTGTGTTGCTCTTTATTCATTTATCCCTTTGTTGTTTGCATAGATATACATTAGGTAATGTGTAAAGGTCCAGTTTAAAAGGATCACATTTAGCTCTCTGCACTAATGCATGATTGCCATCTGCACAAGATCTGCTAACAGTAGCTTTTATCTGCTGCCGCAGTTTGAGCTGTCTATGCGGAGTTATCAATACTGCTAATCTGTCATAAACTCAGCATGTCCTGGAGTGGAAAAATAACTGCACACGTTTTTGCAGGTAAAAAGGGTGGAGATGGGGGTGCTGCATAGTAACATGTTACACTCTAAATACGGGTGTAACATGTTACTAGATGTAAACTTAGCCTTTATAATTCCAGGCCACCTGCAGTTTCTCCCTACATCATCATTCTCTTCTGCCTGCTTGTAGAAAAAACCTCACAATGTCAGAAATAAAACCTAGAGTCCCCGATGTCAGTGTGCACTTACAGTGGCTTTTACTTCCAATCTTCTGAAAATGTTCTACTAGCAGGGTCATTGGGGACTAGCAGATGTGGGTGGCCTGAAAGTTCCAACTTACCTCTTTTACTGCACTGCATCCTCCATCAGTCAGTTTGCGACACTTCCAGATGTGTCGGATGCATGTGTCTCTTGGCACTCCATGATTCCATTCACCAACCCTATACATTACTGCAGAACTCAGCATTGACATAGGGGTTGGAGATTGGAGTAACAATACAGGGTAGGGGATACAGGCAATCTGATTCTCCCTGAAGTGCAGAAGAGAGCGGTTGCAGTCCAGAACAGAGGGAGAAGGTAGGAGACATACATTTAAGAGCTCTTCTATTGCAGGGAGGTTTCATCTTGATTTTCCATCACCTGACAGGTTTTCATTATTAAAAAATACCTGGTGCTCCTGCCCTGAAAGTCCTTGTTCCTGTTATGAGTGAGTGCACTGGGCGCCCTGGTTGCCATTGTGTATATGCTGGGTGTTCTTTGCACTCCTGTACCTTTAAGAGGGGTGGGCTCCCTGATGTGCACTTGCCCTTGGTCTATCCTTTAAATGCATGTGCCTCTACTATGGGGACTCTCAAATTTGTAGAGTTAGGACCACAGAATATCAGGGTGCCGTGATGTGGCTCTGTGGCTTACATATGTATTTGCAAATATGTGCTAATTAAACCCCTGTTTTTAACGCATAATGTTAGACAGGTTAATTTGGTTGTTGGCAAGCTGGCTGGCCAGTTGACTTTCGAACCCTTTTTTTATTTTTCCTTTATTACTGACATGCTTTGCCCGGTTCACGTAGTCCTTGCTTCATAAGCCAGTTATTGACCGGCATGGGTGCCATGTTTTACTTTACTGCCTGACAACTCTCCTGCTGCATTGCCACCCTGTCACATGGGCTTCGAATGATGACTGTAAATGGCTACTTCAACACAAGCTCTGCTGGTACGGTCCACTATTGTTCATATCAAGAAAGCCCCCCCTTCCCGAGTAATGACTTACTGACATCATTAGAAGGCATGTAGACTGGAAGTGGTTCAGGAGATCAGCAGTGTTGAAAAGAAACACAAAGGGTGAAAAGAGGTGAAAACGAGTGTTCTATTAAGCAAAATTTTTGTTGTTTATTGTACAGACCACATTAGCAAACTTGATGTAATTGATTTATGTACTACATCTACTTTAAAGTGAAATTAAAGGTCCGTTCATACTTACCTGCTCTTTGTAATGGTTTTGCACAGAGCAGTCCCGATTCTCTTCTTTTCGGGTCCCTTTCCAGCACTCCGGACTCCTCTCCCTTGACTAGTGCCCCCAATAGCAAACCGCTTGCTATGGGGGCACTGGCACATGCTTGTTCCCGAGCCCTGCTCTATGCATCCATAAGACACATAGAGCCATGTCTTGGCCCTGCTCCCTACTCTTTCCTCATTGACTCACTGGCTGTGATTGACAGCCTCAGCCAATCAGGAGAGAGAGACCTGGAACAGCCGAGTCTCCTGTGCACATCACTGGATGGAAATGGGGCTTAGGTGAGTATTAGGGGGGCTGTGGGGGGAACAGCACACAGAAGTTTTTTTTACCTTGATGCATAGAATGCACAAAGGCAAAAAACGTCAACTTTTACAACCACTTGATGATACAAGGTAGAGAATAACAAAAATGCAAGCAAATGAAAGCAAGCAGTCACACTTAGGATGGGCATGCAGGTGATCTGCACACAGTTTGGCAGCACGGTGTACAGAGAGGTTGGACAATTTATTGGAAGAACTGAGTTCTGCTTAATAGTTTTGTTTCATTACTAGAGGCACCTTGGTCAAAACTTTGCAGAACTGCGGATATCATTTCCAGGAGTTCCTTCTCTCCCCAACATGTGTAAGTAATGACTTCATTCTGGTTAGAGAATTTTATTATTTTTTTCTTTTCTGTGTGTTGGTGTAACATTGTACTTTGTGCTTGTTTCTTTTCCAATTGCTTTTTTTTCCTTTTCGCCCCTATGTATATACTCAAGACCATAGGCTGTTTTTTGGGCAAAAAAAAAAAACAGTACTGTATGTGGATTTAGAATGGATGTACATTTCCCTAAAGGGGCACACCAGCCAGAGAGAAGAATCGCCAGCAAACATCACCTAATTTTTTATTTTTGTTATTGTAAATGTGTTTTAAAGGACAAGTTCACCTTTGGAACATGTTGCATGTTCCACCTGTTTTTAGGGTGGAACATGTACCATTGTTCCATAGCCCCAGCCCCCCCCCCCAGACAGATAGTATGGGGAGAATTTTCCCTGTACTATCTGTCAGATTTGAATACAGCGTGGCTGTGTAGGGCTCTGCCCACACGGCCAGATTACTCATTCACAGTGTTCTGTGAATGAGTGCCTACAAGTCCTGGCACCCTTTAGCGGCTGTCGACTTGTAGTTTTCAATGAACTACCTGTAGAGCGCCGTGGTAGTTCACTGAAGTTTTCTGTGCGTATATGGCAAGCAGATATTCTGACAGGTCTGCAGGAGACCTGCATGGCATCAGCGATCTACTGATCACTGGTGCAATGCTTTCCAGGCTCGTTTGGACAAAAATAATAAATGCACATTTTTTTTACCTGCAAAAAAGTGTGCATTTATTATTTTTGTCCAAAAGGTGAACTTATCCTTTAGACATTAACGTGAAGACTTAATGCCCAAATCCAGAAAAAGGTAAAATGCCGCTTTGCAATGGTTCTGACCCCACATTGCAAATGCTGAATGCTCGTTTACGTCTAGGGGATGGAATAATCAGTTGTACTTACCTGATACTTTTCTCCCCCTGCAGACGATGCTCCCCTATGCTCCAGCAGTGGACTGTCCCAGTGTCCCCCATGTATAGTAGGCTATGGGCCCTATATTGGTCTTGATGACATCAGGGTCATCCGACCGCAGAGCACAGGGGAGTAGAGGCTGTGGGGACCAGTCTTTGTAGCACAGAGGAGCCTGTGGGGCATCAGGTAAGCAAAACTGATTTTCCTGGTCCTCTAGGTGCAAATGAACATTTAGCCCTTGCTGTGCGGGGGCAGCCCACTGCATGGGAGAATTTTGACTGTCCCTGGAGTTCAGCTTTAAAGCGTATGTCAAGCCAAACCTTTTTTTTCCGTTTCAGATGGAGTTGGGAAGGATTAAAATCCCTGTTCGTGTTTTTTATTGCTATCCAGGGCCCCTGTTCCGCCTCACTTTCACAGTGACAACAGTTTCACCAGACAGGTAGTGAGGGTAAACAAGGAACTCTGACAGTGAGAAGTTGAAAAAACCTTCATCCTTTTCGTACTTTACTACTACTTTAAAAAAATGCGTTTTTATTCCTGTCTATATCCTTCTTGTAGAATTCCTCCTGCTTCCAATTTGTTGAAACAATTGTCACTGGGACAGTAAAGCTGGTCATGCATTTTGCAAATGGAGTGGCCTGCCAGTCTTGCTCCTTTCAATGAAGGAGTCTGCTGGAAAAGTTTCAGCTGGACAGTGGCTGCATTCAGTCAGATGTAGGCACTGTTTGCGTATGTCAACAGCTGGGAAAGCCTGTTGTCAAAATGCAATACCTACAGTGGGGAGTTCGTCCATCTGCACTGCAGGAGGAATCTGTTATGTTTTTTCTTCAGTCCACAATGTATGGCAAGTTTAAGTGAGGGAAACTCTCCCTAAGGGCTTGTTTACACTGCAACAGTGTACAGTACAGCATGCGCTTTTACATGCATTAGTTATTATGTGCTTGCAGGCATTTTCTATGATTTTGTTTTCATAAAGTTGCATTTACATAGGTTTGTGATGCATTTACAAGCAAAAATGCAGCGAGTTGTATTTTTTTTTTTTTTAAATGCACATTAACCACCTCCTGTCCGGCCGTTGTATATAAATGGTCGGACCGTGGCACTGCAAGGTCGGGTGGCCGTTTATAAATGGCCTCCCCGCACCCTGCTTGTGCGCGCTCCCTGGGAGCGCGCAGCACCGCGATCTGGTGCTCGCTGTGTCCTTCGGAAGTGAAACACCGATCGTCGGACGGGACCTCTGTACGAGGTCCCGATCATGTAATTGCTGATTGGCCAATCAGTGATCACATGCAAAGTAGTAAGCAAGATGTCACTTGTGACATCATTGCTTACTACGTGTGAAATCTGTGAATGATCACAGAGGTCACATGGTCCAAGGCTATTCACAACAGCCTTGTACCATGTGACAAGCTGTGACCAATCACAGCTCTCTCAGTAGTTCTCAATGGCTGCAAGAATGCAGGCAGAGAGAAAGAGAAATGATTGCTTTTACATCCTATATGGGTGGAAAAGCAATCAGTGTAAAAAAAAAAAAAAAATCATCATCACCCCCCACAAGTAGTGTACTGCTAGGGTGACAGTATGTGAAAAAAAAATAATAATAATATAAAAAAAATTAAATAAAAATGTAAAAAAAAATGTTTAAAAATTATAATTTTTGGTTATAAATGAATTTGGCTTATTTTGTTTTTACTAAAAAGGTAACTGAATAAATTTTGGCCAGGATTTATGATGAAATATTATTAATTTGCAAAATTTTATAAGAAAAAACACCTTTTTTTCAAAATTTTTTGGACTTTTTCATTTACATAGCAAAAAAAATAAAACTCCTAGCGGTGAATAAATACCACCAAAATAAAGTTTTATCTGTCTCAAAAAAATGGTAAAAAAAATTCATATGGGTACAGTGTTTCACCAAAAGTGTGTTGCGCTCCTTATTAATTTATAATATCTTTTTTAGTACTAATAGCCCTCCATTTATATCCCTCAAAATAACTAATTACAAAAAATAAATAACGTGTATTCATACAATTAACCACAATTGAGTATTCATATATAATAATAACTAAATACCCGAAAAAAATATATTTTTGATTATAAAACCTCAATAATTAATAATATAATAAATATCAGTGATTATCAAAATTATTTAATATTAAGCAAATTTCATAATAAATAAAAAATTTAATTTACAGAAATAATTATAAGAGTACAGTGTTGCATGACCGCGCAATTGTCATTCAAAGTGTGATAGCGCTGAAAGCTAAAAATTGCCCTGGACAGGATGGGGGTAAAAGTGTCCGGAAAGGAAGTGGTTAAGGCACTGCAGTGGTATGAACTAGGCTCATTGCAATATATAAATTTTTCTTGTATACGCGTTTGTTCTGAATTAAAAGTGTATTTGACTGCATTTGGTGCAAATGAGCCCTAATGGAGCCCAGAGACAGCAGTAAAACCTGACGGGTTCTAATACTTCCTCACTCTATCCAAAGCTTTGGGTTGATGAAGGAAGCCCTTGGATACTTTCCATGCTGTTGGACTGTAAGAACAATGGTCTCCCTGTAGAGGTGTGAATTCCCTCCCACCATCTGAGTAGTAGCTAAAACTCTCCAATCAGCAAGAATTGTGAGCTTTGCTTACTGCACAGCTCTGGCATTAACATACATTTAGGCACCAATCATAGTTTGGGATTACAAATTGCACTGCAATTGTGATAAAATGTGCCACGTGCGTTTGGGTGCCATTCATTCTTAATGGTATCGCAAACGCAGTTTGATTTTGCTGCAATTTTTGCAGGATCTTCTTTTGGGCAACAGGCTTTGTACAATGCATTTTGCCGCGATTGCCGTGCAATTCTGTCATGTGACAGTCGAGCCTAAATCACACTGAATTTGGGATGCAATTAACATTGAATGGCACCAAAACATACATGGAAATTGCAGTGCAATTTGGAATCAGAGGCAGAATCACTGCAGTTCTTCCTGTCATTCCAAATCGAGACGTGTGAATGGGGCCTTCTGTTTTTCCTAATGTGCATGCAGCCTTTTTTTATAGATTCTTTCTACATTGTTATCATCTGATGATCAGTAAAAAAAATTTTAGTTTCAGAAGGGAGAAGAGCAGTGAGCTTAGTGCAGCATCTGGAACTCGCTACCCCATCCATCACCTACTCTCCTTTCCTTTAGGCGCACCCTGAAAACCCATCTCTTCAGGGAAGCCTACCCCGCCCTCACCTAATTGCTGATCTCCTCCGCTCTTCCCACCACTCCATCCCCCACAGCTATTTCCTCCTGTACCACTATCCCCTCCCTCCTAGATTGTAAGCTCCAAGGAGCAGGGCCCTTGAACCCCTCGTGTATTGTATTGTTACTGTACTGTCTCCCACTATAATGTACAGTGCTTAGCCAACTATTGGCGCTATATAAATACTGTATAATAATTGTGTGAGTGCCTGGAATTAATGCACTATGCACATTATCATTGCCTTTTGAAATCCTTTATTGAACACACCTTATAATATAAAGGTATGTGCAGTTTTTTATTTGTACTGGCTTTTAGCAGGATTTGATAACTAAAACAGAAAATCAGTACATACTTGGAAAATGAGTATCTCCAGCCTGATTTTATAAATTCTGGAGGAAGGGAAAGCTGTGTGGCCCTTTGCTACATATTCCAGCTCTACTTTAACTGAAAAAAATTGGAATTTGGTTGGTATGTTACTGGTTGCTATTGGAAGCACGTTGCTTTGCCCTTTAGATTTTATGTATCATCTCCATTGTGGTTGTTCGGCTACGCACTTGTATTGCTGCTGCCAAAATTTCATGCTAGGCCTTCATTAAATCTTTTGCTTTGTGTTTCTTTTTTTTTTTTTTTTTTTACTAGCTCGGCATTCCAAATTCAAGGCTGCGGTACTTTCTGATTGCTAAGCTTCAGTCAGAGCCATTTGCTTTCCAGACCACCAATAAAGTAAGCTTCCAGTAGTTTTTCCTTTATAGTATACAATGAACCAATAATCACACATGATTTAAAATTGCAGTGCCGAAAAAATAATTCATATTTCTAAACAACCACGGTTGAAAAAAAAATGTACCATCAGAAATCCAACTTTTCCCTTGATGGGTCAGCTTTACTACAGTCACAATGTGATGGAATACCTAAATTGTCCAACTTCCAGGCTGGTCCATATCTTCAGGGTTGAGTGGTGATTGAATGACCAGTGTTAAGCCTGGCCACGCACAGAGCAATTTCTGCTGATTTCCTGATTGAAGTGGTTTTATAGGCTCAAGGTTTATGAAGGTAAAAAACCTTCTGTGTGCAGCATCACCCCGGCCCCCCCTAATAATCACCTAAGCCCCCCTCTCGATCCAGCGATGTTCATTGGAGTCTCGGCTATCCCGGGACTCCCTCTTCCGATTGGCTGAGACAGAAGCGGGAGCCATCAGTTCCCACTGCTATGAATCACAACCAGTGAGCCAATGAGAAGAGAGAGGGGGCGGGGCTGAGCCGTGGCTCCATGTGTGAATGGACACATGGAGCAGCAGGTGCCCCCATAGCAAGCTGCTTGCTGTGGGGGCACCCATCAGGAGAGGGGCCAGGAGAGCCTGAAGGGGACCCGAGAAGAGGAGGACCGGGGCTGCTCTGTGCAAAACCACTGCACACACTGGGAAAGTAAAGACACATTTATTATTTAACAAAAAAAAGCCTTTATAATCACTTTAACCATCTGAAATTCGCTCTGTAGATGACCCTGTGGGCCCCATCCTGAATAACATTCCTCAAGTGAAAAATCAAAGGAGCTAGGCAGAAAGTTGTCAGCAGAACCTGCATCAGATGTAGACATTGTTGGGTGTTTTGATAGCTGGCGACACCGACTGTCAGAATACAACCCCTGGTTATCGTGGATGGATTTTTTTCATTCAAGATGTGTTTGACCAGCTTTAGGCTTGGTCAGCCAGCTTGAATTGCCCTGGACAGTCACTACTGGCATGATGAACTGAACTTGCATGTTTATGTACCCTTCATTTTAAATAATCATTGTTCAATGATTGCAATATGATGTCATGTCCAACCACCATCTTTGACAACTTGTATATTAAAGTATATCTAAAGCCTTTTTTTTTTTTTTTTTTTACAGAAATGACTGTAAGGTTTTTATTTCTGTCCCTGATGGGGAAATTCATCCTCTCTATGTCATGAAGACCATTGTCAATGGGACAGGAAATAATGAGAAATCCAAAAATTTTAGTTGTCACAGAAAGGGAGGAAAAAATCTTGTAAAGTGGACACTTGTTTTGGTGATAACTGTATAAGATTTTTTTTCTGCTTGGATTAGTGAGATTTCCTATCACATTCTTTTGTCTTTATAGGACAGGGAAAGGAAATCTCCTACCCAGTTGGACCCTGAAAAAACAGTACTTGTCTGAAAACCATGAGATGGAATCTCCCATTTTTAGACTTTCAAGCTGTAGGCTAATTTGGAAGCAGTCACCTTACTTGCAGTCATGCTGAACAACCTGTGGATATACATAGAGGAAGGTCGTAAACACCGCACACCAAGCAAAGCCATTAGTAAACAAGTGAAAGCAGCCTCAGCCAGCTTCACCCAAAGCCACGTCCAAAACACATTTCACTCTGACCATGGGGCTTATTTATGACCTCTATGATTAAGCTCCATGGCTGGGGTGAAACTTGTTGGGGACATGGCTTTGGGTCAAGCTGGCTGAGGATTTGTTTACTAATGGCTTTGCTTGGTGTGCGTGTGTTTGGGACCTTTCTCTATGCATATCCACAGTATGTGAGGAATGTAGATGGACTCTTTCCCAGCCAGCACCCATTGGAGGAAACACCTGGAGGACTTACAGGAGCTTCAGTGGAGACCTTACGTTTTATGAGGTTACCTGCTGAACAAGGACTTTACTACTTTGGAAGTAGTATGTGGGCCAGAAAGCGCTATTGTTATTCTGCTGGGTAAATAAGTAGAAAACACTAAATTGGACTTTAACAGGCCAGGGGGCACCTGGTTCCAGCATTGCTTTTTCTTTGAGCTCACTGAAGGCTTATAGCACAGATGCCAGGGAACCATTTGGAAGGAAAGAGGGAACTCCATAGCGTAAAACCATTTAAAATGCTTTATTCCATTACAACCAGCATAAATTTGAAAGCAGGTAGTCTCCGGTCTCACCGATTATTGCAAGCTCACCCGACATGCGTGGTGACATCACCTCCAAAGCCCCATCGTACGTGTTTTGTCATCCGAAATCCTGCAAGGGCGGATCATTGCTCCCAAAGCCAATGTGCTGTAGCTGGTTTATTATCTTACCAGCATGGAGCTCTGGTGAGTTCATTTAATACATTTTGTGGTGGAACAGCACGGTGTGGTGGTGAACATTATAGAAAGCACAAGAATTAAATGTATGAATTGATGGAATTTTCATCACAAACTTTTTATATATAACTTTTGGATATACAATTAAGATATATTTTTGCATAATTTGTTGTATGAATTTGATATGATTTTGATGGGGTATGCACAATTATTTTGTATATGAATTAGATAATGTGAGTCATTTATGAATATGACACTTTTTTTAGTGTATGTTTGCATATAGCACTTTGTTTTGCACTTTAGCAACATTTATCATGTTTTGTATACCTGTAGGGGTTTGCACACATTTGGGAGGGTATATTGTAATGGTGTAAGGGAGCACTATTTAATTTCTTGTATCTGCTTATATTGCTTTGGGATTTCCAGAGATAAAGTAGCTGCTTCCTCTTTTCTTGGATCGCACCTTCATAATCATGTCTGGTGGCGCTGTCTATAGAAGGCATTAAAGCACAGATAGCCTATGAGAACAATCCACATATTACTAGACTTGATTTAGCAAAATTCAGAATAATGGACTTCCTGCCTTAAGCATTATGTTAGTTGATCTACCGTCTGATGTACAGAAGGCTGTTTATCATTGTATTGGTTTGTGTTTTGTTACCCTTTAGACATCTAGTAAGTACAGCACAGTCATAGGACTCTCTGTCTATAAAATGCCGCGTGGGTTTATATGTGGAGGAAGTAACTGCATGATTTTGGTATTTAATTAGACAAGTACATAACTACTAGACTGGATTTTTAATTGGTTTGCAGTTATGGTAGGTTTTGTCCATGCTTTGGTGGGTGGTCTGTAAATGTACGAAGTGCATTCTTAATCTGCTTGCCATTGAAGTAATTATATCTGACTTTGTCTCTGAATGCAGCCATTAACTGAGTACATTGTCACAATCACATATTTTGATTAAACCATCTGAATAGCAGTTCCACTTAGCCTTTAGCCTACACTAAAAACATTAAATGACTTTCAGGCTTTAATGCTAATGCAGCATTAGAATCAGATAATTGAAATACATATAAAAAAGTAGGCTTAGAACCTATTTTTCAGTTTAGGCAAACTTAAAATGAAAAAGATTCTGTGAACCGCTACCTCTGGTTATCTGCACATCAAGTAATTTTTCCAATTCCATCCAAGTTCTCTGGATCCTGCATGCTGGAAATCTAGGCTCCCTACCCTTACAGATGGGCAGTACATGTGTTGGGAAGCATCACTGGCTAGTAGATGGTCATGGGTGGCATTAGGGCCAGACTCTTTACAGGGGAAGATGGAGAATTTTGCATTCCAGGGCACTCTAGGATTTTAGAAACCAGGTGATCTGAATAGAAAAACTGACCTCTGTTGTACAGGCACTTGGAGGTATCAATAAGAACTGGAACATATAATTTATTATCAGATATTACCTGACATTCTTTTTTTTGTTTTATATATTGTGAGAACTAGCTGCAAGAGCTTTTAAGGACACCGCCACTTGATTTTTCTCCTTTTTTAAGGGTTTCACAAAGTTTCAGAAAATTAAAATTAGAGTTTCCCTCACTGGAGTGTTCAGCATTTCTCTGTCTTGCATCCACATTCAGCCTTCTGGCTTACACATTTGACACTACTACTCCGGCCTTACCTTCTAGGCTCTGGTCTGTCTGTGTTCTCCAGACAATCTTATCAGAAACTCTCAGCACATACCTTGCAGCCCCTTACTGCTGTGACTCCTACCTCTCTCCTAGGTGGAGCCTTCCACCTCTGTCCACCGGCGGTGGAGCACAGAAACATGGCTAGGTTCAATACCACTACTAAAACCCCAGCACACACCTGACCATTTAGTGTGCTGGTAGTTCTGAGAACCAGGGCCCAGGAGTGGAGATTTCATCCCTCCCAGATCTCTACAAAATCTCTGGGCTCCAGGTCCCAAACCAGGAAAACTCAAAAGTCAGTTTCCTCTATATGACACAAGGTCCCTGGAGCCCCTCAACACGCCTAGATGAGAATCCTGGGTCATAACCTCTTATAACCATAATACTCCCACAGTTGCGGGCCATTGATTGCAAACAACATTTGTTAATTAGCAAAGCTACATTTTAGACAACAAAATCCTAATTAACAAGAATTAAACAATAGGTGAGTCTAATTATTCATTAAACAGGTGTCCAACAGACAGTTAATTATAAAAGGGTGTAACTTAACAAAGAATTCCCCTTCCCATTTCATGCTGTCAGCATGGGCACCGCATGGAAGAGAAACATCACAAGGCCTGAGAAAAAATAATTTCTTTACACAAGAAAGTTGAAGGCTACAAGTAGATCAGCAAAACGTTACTTATCAGAATACTGTAGCAAAAGTGATACAAAACTTTAACAATTATGGAACTGCAACCATCTCACAGAGACGTCCAGGCTGTCCACAGAAGAAGTTAACACCTCAACAGGAGCATCTTCTAATGAGAAGGGTTGAAGAAAATTGCCATGCAAGTTCACTGCAGTTAGCTACAGAAGTAGAAAGCCAAACTGGGGTGATTGTTTCCCGTGACCCAATACAGTGTACACTGTAGAGGAATGGCATGCTTGGGTGTTTCGTCTACGAAGGAAGCCTCTCCTAAAGACCATGTACAAAAACACTTGCTTGCTTAGAATTTGCCAGGGCTCATGCTGAAAAAGAAGACTACTTAGAATCTGTACTCTGGAGTAATGAGACCAAGATAAATGTTTTTGGACCTGATGGCTTCAAAACTGTATGGCGTCACGAAGGTGAGGAGTACAAAGAAAAATGCATGGTGCCTACAGTGAAGCATAGTGGTGGCAGTGTCCTTCTGTTGGGCTGCATGAGTGCTGCTGGTGTCAGGGAGCTGTATTGATGGTATCATGAATTCACAGATGTACTGCTCTATATCGAAAGAGAAGATGCTACCATCACTCTGTGCCCTTGGTCCTCGTGCACTTTACCAACATGACAATGATCAAAATGCACATCTAAGGCCACTGTTGCATTTCTGAAGAAGAACAGGGTGAAAGTGATTCAGTGGCCAAGTATGTCTCCTGATCTGAACCCAATCGAACACCTATGAGGAATTCAGAAGAGACTCTCCATCCAGCATCCAGGCTCTAAAGTAGGTCGTTCTTGAAGAACGGAAAAAGATCGATGTTGCAATGTCGCCAACTTGTTCATTCCATGCCTAGCAGACTCGGTGCTGTCCTTACAAATCATGGAGGTCATACAAAATTCTAGATGTAGTAGTTTTTGTTGTGGGTGTATTCATTTTTGCATCAACAAATTTGAGTAAAACCGAAGATTTTGTTATCTACATTATATTATTAACCTTACTTTCATGTAATGAGCTAAACAAATGTTCTTTAAAACTCAGTTTTGTCACAATTTTAGAAATTATTCTTGTGTTCATTGAGATATTGATTATAATACTGTACGTGTGTGTGTGTATATGTATGTATGTGTGTGTGTGTGTGTGTGTATATGTGTATATGTGTATATATATATATATATATATATATAATGAATGAAGGTGGGATACAGAGGCCCTTTTACTCTAGTTATTTTTTAAGATTTAACCTGTGTTTCAAGCTGGTCATCCATTAGTAGTTTAGTACGTCTGATCCTCAGCTGTGCATAACTGCAAGTCCTGAACATCCGCATAGTATGTACCACATCAGTCATTTTTAGAGCCTGCCCAGGCCTATGTGTTCTTCAGATAACCAACCTTATTGGGCATAATTTGGACATTTTCACTTAGGGGTGTACTCAGTTTTAAATATAAATAAACAGCGCAAACATAGACCTTTAAATCAAATCAATATACAAAGTGCAAACATATATAAAAAATTATATTAATAGTGAAGTCCATCATGGTTAATAGACAACAAAAGTTCAGAAATCTCAAAAAAAATATTTTGTGCAAAAAAATTTTTTTTTCCCATTCTTCTTCTAATGTAAAGAAAAAAACTTCCACCTTCCACCCGTGCAAACCAACATCAAATGCACTCACCAGATTTAGGTGAATGAAACGCCTTTTAGGAATTTATATGGGATCCTAAACCCTCTTTCGTATCCACTCTATAGGAATCCTCACCTTCAGTGTAGGCTCCACCATACAACCGGGGAGAGAAAAATCTCAGATAGTGTAATATTGCAAAATACCATTTATGAATAAAATCAAGGATTAAGGCCACTCACATTTAAATCACTTTAAAAAGGCATATTTATTAGGACAAGCTTCTTCCAGATGGACAATGAATGTAAGACAACCTCCCATGGAATCTCACATCACAGCTCCAGGATACAGCAGAAGTTCCACAGAGACCAAACATACACAGATCCCAAAAGATGGCCGCTGGAACGCCCGATGGGAGGGGCGAAACGCGTTGACGCATTTCCGGTTGTTACCCCGTACGTCTGACGTCACTTCCGGTGAGTGGAGCGCACGCTGATCGGTGCGTTCCAGCGGCCATCTTTTGGGATCTGTGTATGTTTGGTCTCTGTGGAACTTCTGCTGTATCCTGGAGCTGTGATGTGAGATTCCATGGGAGGTTGTCTTACATTCATTGTCCATCTGGAAGAAGCTTGTCCTAATAAATATGCCTTTTTAAAGTGATTTAAATGTGAGTGGCCTTAATCCTTGATTTTATTCATAAATGGTATTTTGCAATATTACACTATCTGAGATTTTTCTCTCCCCGGTTGTATGGTGGAGCCTACACTGAAGGTGAGGATTCCTATAGAGTGGATACGGAAGAGGGTTTAGGATCCCATATAAATTCCTAAAAGGCGTTTCATTCACCTAAATCTGGTGAGTGCATTTGATGTTGGTTTGCACGGGTGGAAGGTGGAAGTTTTTTTCTTTACATTAGAAAGTTTGCACTTTGTATATTGATTTGATTTAAAGGTCTATGTTTGCGCTGTTTATTTATATTTATCACATTTTGTGTTCACCACATTGCACAGCAGCAGGATAGATCCTGTAGTAGGGTGTTTAACTTGGCGCAGGAAGAATTTTTTAGTTTTTTTGTACTCAGTTTTGTTGCCAGCGGTTTAGACATTAATGACTGTGTGTTGAGTTATTTTGAGGGGACAGCAAATTTGCAATGTTATATGGACTGGCCAAGCATATAATGTGATGGACTGGCCAAGCATGTCTCCAGACCTAAACCCTTTTGAGCATCTGTGGGCATTCTCAAACAAAAGGTGGAGGAGCGCAAGGTCTCTAACATCCACTAGCTCCGTGATGTCGTCATGGAGGCGTGGAAGAGGACTGCAGTGGCAACCTGTGAAGCTCTGGTGAAAGCAAACCAAAGAAGTTGAGTGCACGTGCTTTGGGAAATAGACGCATGATTGCTGCCAGCATTGCTGCAGAGGTTTAAGGGGTGGGGGGTCAGCCTGTCAGTGCTCAGACAATGCGCAGCACACTGCATCAAATTGGTCTGCATGGCTGTCGTCCCAGAAGGAAGCCTCTTCTAAAGATGATGCACAAGAAAGCCCACAAACAGTTTGCTGAAGACTAAGGACATGGATAAACTTATTTGGTTCAGATGGTGTCAAGCGTGTGGGGTGGCAATCAGATGGTGAGTACGAAGACAAGTGTGTCTTGCCTACAGTCAAACATGGTGGTGGGAGTGTCATGGTCTGGGGCTGCACAAGTGCTGCTGGCACTGGGGAGCTACAGTTCATTGAAGGAACCATGAATGCCAACATGTACTGTGACATACTGAAGCAGAGCATGATCCCTCCCTTCTGAGAGTGGGCTGCAGAGCAGTATTCCAACCTACTAACGACCCTAAACACACCTCTAAGATGACCACCCCCTTGCTAAAGAAGCTGAGGGTAAAGGTGATGGACTGGCCAAGCATGTCTCCAGACCTAAACCCTTTTGAGCATCTGTGGGGCATTCTCAAACAAAAGGTGGAGGAGCGCAAGGTCTCTAACATCCACTAGCTCCGTGATGTCGTCATGGAGGCGTGGAAGAGGACTGCAGTGGCAACCTGTGAAGCTCTGGTGAAAGCCATGCCCAAGAGGGTTAAGGCAGTGCAGGAAAATAATGGTGACCACACAAAATATTGACACTTTGGACCCAATTTGGAGATTTTCACTTAGGGGTGTACTCACTTTTGTTGCCAGCGGTTTAGACATTAATGACTGTGTGTTGAGTTATTTTGAGGGGACAGCAAATTTGCAATGTTATACAAGCTGCACACTCACTACTTTACATTGTAGCAAAATGTCATTTCTTCTGTGTTGTCACATGAAAAGATGTAATAAAATATTTACAGAAATGTGAGGGGTGTACTCACTTCTGTGAGATACTGTAGGTAAGTATGATTGAAAAAAAAAATCTAATACTTCTCTTTTAAATGGTGACAGCACATATGCAGCCTCATTACTGAAATATAGAATATCTAAATGAGCTACCTTGACAAATATGCAACCCATGTGTAGGGCAGCTTTTAAGTTTATGGGACCTATTGACAATTTTGTAGAAAAATGTTTTACTAAAGCCTACCTTTTTCACCAACACAACTGATTTAAAGGTGAAAATGGTGATCAAATTAACACTTTCCTTATTTGTGGCCCTGTAGGTGCCTTTCTTAGTCACTACACAATTAGAGGGGCCACCAACCTCAGTCCAGGTACACTTGGTTCAATATATGAGGAGCATTCAAGTCAAACCAGGACTTTTAATTTTACAGGAATAAAAAGGGATGCTAGCGCGGCGGTACTACGCACAGTAGTAAGTAGCAAGTGTGTCCTATTACTGATAGGCGGAGCACATGTCATGGGCCAGTCCAGAGACTGTTAATCAAGATGGCAGACAACAGTGTTAGTGCATGCATGGAACAGCGTGTAATGATGACGTTTCTTGTGAACTAAGGTGTAAAGCCCACGGATGTCTACAGGAGACTTCAAGCACAGTGCGGTGATGAGACACTCAGCCGCAGTAACGACATTTGAATGGTGTAAACATTTCAAAGATGGCCGTACGTCCGTCAGTGACGATCCTGGCCCTGGTGGTTCCCAGCCCACAGCAGTCATTCCTGTGATCATTCAGCGCATTGAACGCCTGATCCTGGATAATAGACACATAACCTGTCATAAAATTGCACAAGAGACAAATTTTTTTGTGGGAACGGTGAACGCAATGGTGACGAAGTGAAGCTAGAATGGTTCAGGCATACTGACAGATCTTTCTATGCCAAAGCTTTCCAGACATTAGTTAAATGCTGGGATAAGTGTATACATGTAGCAGGGGAGTATGTTGAAAAATAAATATAGTTTCCACTCCTTAAAATGTGTTTTTATTATGTAAAATCAAAAGTGTCGGTTTGACTTGAATGCCTCTTGTATAATTACCACCACTTATTCAAACATCTGTATACCATGACTAGTACAGACTTATTTTAGGCTCAAATTAACACATCTATATACCAATATACTTTTCCATATTAGATTCTTGAAACTTTTCCTAGTACAAATGAATCGGAATCAACAAGAACTGGCAGTGATTTGGGTTTGGAAGAGCACCCGCAAACAGACACAGATCAGAAGAAAGCTGCAAGCAGCGCCCAGTGCCCAGGTGGAGGATTCGTATACAAGTTGGAAACGGCTGAGGACCTGCAGAGAAAACAGAGTCAGGACAATGACTCCTCTATACAGACTCTACAAGACTTTTTAGAAGAGAACACTGAAGAGATCAGCCAATACCTTCTGCCTCCAAAGTCATTACTGAGATATGCTTTAATCCTGGATATTGTAAAACCCACATGCCGAAGGTCAATTTGCTTCACAAAAGGGTGAGTGTGCAACATGGCAGCATGTAAGGGGTAACTCCATCCCAGAATGACATTTTAAAGCTGGCTGGTAAAAGAAAAGCCTATTAAATATAGTTGTATATATGTATGTATGTATATATATATATGTGTATGTATATGTATATATATATATATATATATATATATATATATATATATATATATATACATGTATTTTAAAACAACTGGTAAAAATGCCTGAATTTGACTAGATATTAGATCTTTGTACTATATGTTATAGCAGCACCCAGACAGGGAGAGGGGGGGGAGCAGCACTGGGAGACAGTCAGATGTCTTTTTCACATGTGCTGACAAGGAACCTGCTGAAAGAGGAGAGAGTAGAGGGATAATCTCATCAGTTTGTTGCTGCTCTATCATCATACAGTCACAAAATTCCATGGGCTGTGCTTGGCTGACTAACCATAATGATGCAGGAAGGAGATCAGGTCAGGAACTCCCATCGGAAGCACATCAACTCTGAAAATCTGAAGTATCCGAAGATCCAAAAATATGCAGTTTATAGCTGCAGTTTGTTATTATGAAAAATAAAAAGTTGGATGCAGATGTGATATATTATTCCTCATAGAGAATCAGTATTGAATTTAAAAAATGTTCAATGCAAATATACCAAGTGAGGACTGCTGTACAAATTAGATGCATGCATGGAAAACCTTTTTTAAAGAGATTTTCTAAATTGGGTGTCTAATTCCAAGTCCACTTTTGAAAATTTAGTTACGAAAAAAATCAATACACCTCTGAACATCTTTTTTGGTTGCTTCTTGGTGAGGGACATCTTGCACTCAGATTAATATAGATAGTAGCTGACTTTATAGTGTTTTCTGTGTTTTAGATATATTTTATCAGTTTTTCTGCTGTTTAGATAGATTTTTTCTTTGTATAGTTTGCATACAGTATACTCTGTGTTCCTAATTGGCTATTGCTAAAAGTATTGTTTTATCAACATTTCTTTATGGTTGCATGGAAGACTGAAAATTAATCATTTCAACGTCTCAATCCCTTCCTCTTTAGATATGGGCATTATGTAGAAGGAACGGGTTCCGTCTTACAGATGGCAACAGATGTAGAGGTAAACTTTCATACCTGAATGGTTAAGCCTAATGCTGGACACTGTGCAATTGCTTAAAGAGACATTCTGATTTGGTACATTGCTTGGAAACATCACTGACTGTATCAGGAGTCTAGGACCTCATTCACACCTAAGCGTATCAGGAACTCACGTTTTTCTTTGCATGTTTTTTGAGCTTTTTGTTCATCATGCATGTGGCAGCCCATTCACTTGAATGGCCTGCTCTATGTGCATCAAATACCCCAAATAATCATTTTTGGAGTGGAGCGTGGCGCATTTTTTCACAGTGCATTTGTAGCACATTTTCCACATGACAAAAAGCCAGATATGAATGGAGCCTAAGGGTGCATTTACACTGGTCATGGTTGAACTAAAGGCATTCTATGAGTTAAGTCCAATGAAGTGCATGCCACATGGTGAACTTGTCTCTTTCATTTACATTTGACAGTTTTATGGTGCTCCAGAAAGATAGCTATGGCTATAGTTCCAGAGCTCCAACATGACCTTCTGCAGAGTGCATGTAGCTGCTGTGTCTGCCCCTAACCTCTGCTGGTCATTCACAGAAGCCTTTACATTTTGTGAAGTCATTCACAAAGGCTTCTGTGAATGGGGAGAAGATGGGAGGGGCGGGCAGAGATGCTGTGTGTGTGCACACAGTGCCTCTCCTCTCAGAGCCCTGATAGCTTGAGACCAAAGCTCATTCCTTTGACCAGAGCTATCCTCCAAGAGTTCCCTAAAACTGTGAGATTTAAATTCAAGAGATAAGCCCACTTAACTCATATTATGCCTGCATTTTTATCAAAGTGGCTGAATTCCTGGAATTCAGCTTTAAAGCAACCTTGCAAAGGTTTTTTTTTGTTTTAATAAAATGTGCTCCCATTAAATCACTTATTAACACGTGGTTTACCCATCAGCTTAATTAAAATGATAATAAACCAAAAACTCAGCTTACCAATCATTAGATGTGGTGGCTGCATTCGTTTTCTTTTTTAGCCTTTTTCCCTCTGTTTTTTTCACCTGGTGATCTGGCCAGTAACCCATCTTTTCATTCACATTTCAGTCTGGGTGGAGATGCTTGTTGGATGTACTAGCAGATTTAGAAGCACTAACAAATTGAAGCCAACGCGTTTTAAGCAGTTACAGCAATAGTTATTTTCCTTTTGTGATAAAGGTTTTGGCTATATGAATAAAAGCTGACCATCACAAGCTTTTTCTGTTTAAAAAAAAAACAACAGACTTACTAGCCAGACCACCTGGTGAAAATAAAGGAACAAAAAAGAAAACTAATTCAGCCACCACATCTAAGGATTGTTAAGTTGCAATATAGTAAATGTTTGCTTTTGGGTTTAATACCACTTTAACTCCTTCTTCCCCTTCTCCAGTTTACCAATTTTTCCCTATTTGTTTTTTTTTGTTTATTTTTCCAAACATTAATATTTGAACCTCTTTCATTTTATTCATGAGTTTTTGTGTGTATGTTACATAAAAAAAAATGCAGAATTGAAAAAAAAAAGCTTTGTAAATAACTTTAAAATACTTTATACAATAATTGTGTGTGTTAAAAAAAAAATTATATATATATATATATATATACTGTGTGTGTGTGTGTATGTATGTATGTATATATATATATATATATATATATATATTATATATATATATTTTTATTAATTATTATCCACTCAGAACCAAACCATCACAGGAGAATTGGAATCAGTAACACAAATGTGGAATCCTAATACACAGCACAAATTAGAAAATTACATTTATACCTTTTTATCTACAGTATCAATTCTTTTTACCACATTGATCAATTTAGAAAAGTCTGTGTTTTTTTTCATGATTTTTTTATATTGTTTTAAATGGTTGAAGAGCTGAACAGCCCCGCCAATAAAAACGTAACATTTTTCTCTGTAGTAGTTGATCATCTGTAACAAATGACAGTGTAAACTACTGGTGGAACCACTTTACTTTTGTGAACAACTATAAAACCATTGTTTGTGCTCTGGGACCATTGTTTTTCCACTGTGCATTAAGTGGTCCTTGGCGCTAGACAGCTTTTTCAGTAGATGAGCTTGTTTGGCGGGTAAAGATCATTATCTTTATTGAAATCCCGGCTATAATAACTGATAGGCTAGTAACAACTTTATATACGAAGCATGTTGGCAGCCGGGGCCTGTCTGTGTCACTGTACGCTTTATTGCTTCTAAACAATGGCACTCTCATTAAGTGAATGAGTTAAATGTTCAGCCAAGTGGGCAGGAAACTGTCTCTGCGCTTTTCACAAACTCTGTCTACTAGTTGGCTGGGATACATTTATTGGGAGAATGTTGACATGTTATTCTGAATGGTGCTTGTCAAAGCAGAAAAGGAACTGTGATATTATAAAATGGAGCCAGATTTGAGGACAACTGAAATATCGCTTTATGGTTTGCGTTTTATTACTCTAATTTATGGGTTCTGGGCCCTCATGTGTCTTTTTTTCCTATTGTGATGCAGATCAGCTCTGTGTATAAATCACTGGAAACATTGTCTGACGAGGAGAAACTCGCTAAACTTTCCACAATGAAACTGAGATACTTCACACCGAGAGAAATTGCAAATCTTCACGGATTTGCAGCAGATTTTGGTATGTGTGATAAACAGCAAAGAAAATATGGAATGTGATAACCACATTTAACAAGAACTTCAGAAAGATATGTAAAAAAAAAACCTCTTATTTATATACATACTGCATCGGCATTCATGAAATTAGTTCACAGTTACAGTGATTCAAGGTAAAGAATTACCTGCTCTGTGTAATGGTTTTGCACAGAGCATCCCCAATCTTCCTCTACCCGGGTCCCCTACTGGCACTACTGGCTCCTCCCCCTGCTGATTGCCCCCAGATCAAGCAGCTTGCTATGGGGGCACCCGAGCCACTGCTCTGTGTGTCCATTCAAGAGCATGGCTAGGCCCACCCCCACTCTCTCCTTATTGGATCACGGACTATGATTGACAGTAGTAAAACCGATAGATAAAAGACGTGATTATGGCGTAACCTCATACAGTGGGGCAAAAAAGTATTTAGTCAGCCACCAATTGTGCAAGTTCTCCCACTTAAAAAGATGAGAGAGGCCTGTAATTGGCATCATAGGTAGACCTCAACTATGAGAGACAAAATGAGAAAAACAATCCAGACAATCACATTGGCTGATTTAGAAAGAATTTATTTGCAAATTATGGTGGAAAATAAGTATTTGGTCAATATCAAAAGTTCATCTCAATACTTTGTTATATATCCTTTGTTGGCAATGACAGAGGTCAAATGTTTCCTGTAAGTCTTCACAAGGTTGGCACACACTGTTGCTGGTATGTTGGCCCATTCCTCCATGCAGATCTCCTCTAGAGCAGTGATGTTTTGGGGCTGTCGCTGGGCAACACAGACTTTCAACTCCCTCCAAAGGTTTTTGTGGGGTTGAGATCTGGAGACTGGCTAGGCCACTCCAGGATCTTGAAATGCTTCTTACGAAGCCACTCCTTTGTTGCCCGGTCGGTATGTTTGGGATCATTGTCATGTTGGAAGACCCAGCCACGTTTCATCTTCAATGCCCTTGCTGATGGAAGGAGGTTTGCACTCAAAATCTCACGATTCATGGCCCCATTCATTCTGTCCTGTACATGGATCAGTCGTCCTGGTCCCTTTGTGGAGAAACAGCCCTAAAGCATGATGTTGCCACCCCCATGCTTCACAGTAGGTATGGTGTTCTTTGGATGCAACTCAGCATTCTCTCTCCTCCAAACACGACGAGTTGTGTTTCTACCAAACAGTTCTATTTTGGTTTCATCTGACCATATGACATTCTCCCAATCCTCTTCTGGATCATCCAAATGCTCTCTAGCAAACTTCAGACGGGCCCGGACATGTACTGGCTTAAGCAGGGGGACACATCTGGCACTGCAGGATCTGAGTCCCTGGTGCAGTAGTGTGTTACTGATGGTAGCCTTTGTTACGTTGGTCCCAGCTCTCTGCAGGTCATTCACTAGGCCCCCCCGTGTGGTCCTGGGATTTTTGCTCACCGTTCTTGCGATCATTTTCACCCCACAGGGTGAGATCTTGCGTGGAGCCCCAGGATTGAGGGAGATTATCAGTGGTCTTGTATGTCTTCCATTTTCTAATTATTGCTCCCACAGTTGATTTGTTCACACCAAGCTGCTTGCCTATTGCAGATTCAGTCTTCCCAGCCTGGTGCAGGTCTACAATTTTGTTTCTGGTGTCCTTCGACAGCTCTTTGGTCTTCACCATAGTGGAGTTTGGAGTGTGACTGTTTGAGGTTGTGGACAGGTTATTTTATACTGATAACAAGTTCAAACAGGTGCCATTGATACAGGTAATGAGTGCAGGACAGAGGAGCCTCTTAAAGAAGAAGGTACAGGTCTGTGAGAGCCAGAAATCTTGCTTGATTGTAGGTGACCAAATACTTATTTTTCACCATAATTTGCAAATAAATTCTTTCCAAATCAGCCAATGTGATTGTCTGGATTGTTTTTCTCATTTTGTCTCTCATAGTTGAGGTCTACCTATGATGCCAATTACAGGCCTCTCTCATCTTTTTAAGTGGGAGAACTTGCACAATTGGTGGCTGACTAAATACTTTTTTGCCCCACTGTTAATGCAAAAATATAATATGGTAGCCCAAAAAAAGCTTATATGTTTATAGGAAGGCAAGAGGACAACTCAACACATATAAATATTTTTATGTGTTGAGTTGTCCTCTGGGCTTCCTATATACATAAAAGCTTTTTTGCATATTTGAGGTTGAGCCATAGCCAGCTGATTTATCTTTCGGTTTTGTTTCATGGTAGATAAACACGGCGGTTCTCTCAGGTTTATTAATTTTTTTTCATCTTTCATTTCTTATTACAGTTGGGGATCTAATGTCTTGAGGATTCATTTTATAGTGTGATGGTATTTTCACTGTGATTGACAGTAGCGGATACCACTGCTGTCTGAGCCAATGAGGAGGGAGAGAATTGAGAGAGCCGATGCTCTCATGCACATCGCTGGATTGAGATGGGGCTCAGGTAAGTTTTAGGGTGTTGCTGTACACAGGTTTTTTACCTTCATGCAAACCTTGAGCCTTTACAACCACTTTAAATATTTGGTTCACCTTTACAAAAAAAAAAAACTGTAAAAAGGTGGCCTAACACTGGACACCCTCCCCACCCTCTAGTTCCCGCTGTACTTACCTGTTTCGATCTGTAGCTGTCAGGGCTCCCACTGCCACTCCGCTGGTCCAGGGATTTCACATCTCTGCTACTCTCTCTTCTTGGTTCTGTGCTGCTGGGAGGGACCAGATGGATTCTGGTTGGTCAGCACCATCCATTAGAATTTAACAGGTCTGTCCTGGATCTCAAAGTTCAGGCAAAACACTTTTAGTATATATTCTGCTGTTTATTAGTTATAGTTCTATCAATATGTAAGGTACATGCATATGCACATACCTTCAATCACCTTCTCATGCACCTCAGGAGATCTAATATGTAAATATGGATTTAGGAAAAAGAATCACATAGAGACAGATATGCTGCTTGTCCTAAACAAATTGTCCAACAATAATTCCCCCCTTGGAATTTTCGGCAGCACAAATAAATCAAAAAGTACAACAATAAACAATAACGATATCTTTTATTTATACAAGATTTAAAAAAAAAAAATAAAGCAAGTGCTTAAAATATGAGTTCTGGTACAATAGGTCCCCAATGCTATACAAAGATAACCCTACTAGTGGCAGAAAGATTACACAAGAATTTCACATATTATACTTCTGCCTTGAGAAGAAACTCAAATGCGTTTCGATATACAGTGTTTACAATCATCATCAGAGAGATTAACCGCTTTCCCACTACCCTATAGCAGATATACTGCTACAGGGCGGCAGGGGTGTGCAAAATCATATATATATATATATATGCGATTTTGCATTTCTGTGTAGGGGGAGCTCGCGTGCCCTACCCATGCTGCTATTCGCGGCTTTGGCTGTCAATCACCGGGTCCCGACCAGTGATTACTCGCAGCTACATGGTGATTGCGGAGCATTATGGACGGAGGGAGAGAGCTGTATGCAAACAATACAGTTCTCTCCCCTGTTAGCTCCTGCACACTGCTTTGCATGATTCTGCATAGCAGAGCCATGCAAAGCAGTGTGCTTACAGTTGAAAGCACAGACACAGCCCACAGTAAAACAGCACACAGTTAACCCTTTGATCGCCTCAAAGCAAAGACATGTAGCAGAATACATTTTGGCCTAAATGTATGACAAAATTTTTACTGGACATGTTTAATAGCAAAAAGTAAAAAATATTGTTTTATTCTCAAAATTGTTGACTTTTTTTATAGTGCTAAAAAATAAAACCCGCACAGGTGATCAAATGTCACCAAAGAAAACTTAATTCGTGGGGGAAAAAAAGGACATAAATTTCATTTGGGTGCAGCGTTGCATGACCGCGCAATTGTAAGTTAAAGTAACGCAGAACCATAACGCAAAAAATGGTCCGGTCAGGAAGGGGGTAAATCTTCTGGAGGGAAAGTGGTTAAGGGTATCTGAACTGAAAAATAAATCTTATTTAGAACATCACATACTATGCAAATAATATAAGGTATACTGACTTCAGTCCTGAACATTGACTAAATGTGCTCCACGTGTACATAGAGTAATTACCTTGCAGTTTTGGGGATAATGGACAAACACCAGAGCAACTAAAAACAGGTGTTTTTCCAAGCACCCCGATCACACTCCACAGAGGACAATCCCAGGAGCCAGGCCAAAGGCCGCATCAGGAAGTGAGGAGATCACACACCTGTACCAAAAAGGGGGTTCAAATAGAGAAAAATGTTTTTCGTTCTATGAATACAGATAAATCAGATTGGATAATACATGTGCTAAGGCTGGTGAGCCATGTGTCAACCATACTGACCAAATAAAGGACATAAAGGGTAAAAAGCAGTTACTACATCAGTAAAATTCTTGCTGAATATTAAAGGCAATGTCTTGAGGTCAATAATTAAGGAATGCTTGAAAGAGAAGGACATATTGTATATGCATATGTATATATATATTACCTGTCAAGTATCCTAAAGCTTTGAGGCACATACAAGTGCCCAGTATAGGTATAAATCAAAAATATATAATGGCCCATCACTATGCTGGGATGAGTTATGAGGTCCACTCTATAGTTTACAGAGAAAATGAATATAATGCCCAATAAGGGTTTTTTTTTGGCCAGAAAAGGACTCTCCAATTCCTTTATTCAGTTGGCTTATTCACCATTTTGAAAAGGATCTACAAAAGAAAATTAGGAAAACTCCTGAGTGATTTAAAGTCCACCAAGGAGTATGTTATTACCTTACTGTGATGTATACTGCGGACCAGTCTGAGTGCAAGTGAAACCCAAATTGAGAAGGTATCCTATATACAGTGCTCAGCATAAATGAATACACCCCAACAGATTTGTCAGAAAACCTTGACTTTCCTTTCAGAATCAACATTTTCTAAGGGACACTATACTACAAAATACTCCCACAAATGCGGACCATTGATCGCAAACAAGATTTGTTAATTTGCACACATAAAGTATTTTTCCTAACAAAAGTCATCGAAGACCATGTTGCAAAAATGAATACACTCCAATGAAAGTCTTAGGAGCAAAGCTAAATTTTAGACAACAAAATCCTAAATAATAAGAATTCAACTACAAGTGAATCTAATTATTCATTAAACAGGTTTCCAGCAGACAGTTGACTATAAAAGGGCATTACTTAACAAGAAAACCCCTTCCCATTTCATGCTGTCAGCAATGGCACCACGTGGAAGAGAAATGTCACAAGGCCTAATAAAGAAAATAATTTCTTTACACAAGAAATGTGAAGGCTACAAGAAGATCACTAAAGCTTATCAGCCGGAATACTTAACAAAAGTGAAACAAAAATGTAACAAAGATGGAGCTGCAACCATCACACAGAGATGTCCAGGCCATCCATGGAAGTTAACACCTTGACAAGAGCATCTTCTGATGAGAAGGGTTGAAGAAAATCGCCATGCAAGTTCACTGCAGTTAGCTAAAGAAGTAGCCAAACTGGGGTGACTGTTTCCCGTGACACAATACAGCATACACTGCAGAGGAATGGCATGCATGGGTGTTGTCCACGAAGGAAGCCTCCTAAAGCCCATGCACAAAAAAGCCTGCTTAGAATTTTCCAGGGCCCATGCTGAAAAAGAAGACGACTACTGGGATTCTGTACTCTGAAGTGATGAGGCCAAGATGTTTTTGGACCTGATGGCTTCAAAACTGTATGGCATCGCACAGGTGAAATACATGGTACCTACAGTGAAACATGCTGGTGTCAGTATCCTTCTTTGGGGCTGCATGAGTGCTGCTGGTGTCGGGGAGCTGCAATTCACTGGTGGTATAATTAATTCACTGATGTACTGCTCTATATTCAAAGAGAAGTTGCTACCATCACTCCGTGCCCTTGGTTCGTTGTGCACTTTTCCAACCTGACAATGATCCAATACACACATCTAAAGCCACTGTTGCATTTCTGAATAAGAACAGGGTGAAAGTGATTCAGTGGCAAAGTATATCTTGTGATCTGAACCCATCCACCTTCCAGGTCGTTCTTGAAGAATGAAAAAAGTTTGGTGTTGCAATATGTTGCCAACTTGTTCATTCTATGCCTAGGAGACTTGGTGCTGTCCTTACAAATCATGGAGGTCATACAGTGTTCACTGAGATATTGATTAAAATCTTACTTTTCAAACGGGGTGTACTCATTTATGCTGAGCACTGTATGTATAGATAGGGATCAATCTCCACCCCAAACACAATTAATGGTTGCCAGGTGTGTGAAATTGTCCACCTCCCGATTCGGCCAGACACCATAAAGCCTAAGGCATAAAATGGCATCTCCCACGTGGTCTCCTCAGCATTCCGGGAAGGACCATGTCCCCCGGCTACATCCGCTATATGTAAATATGAATTCTTCCAGCGTGTAGGGCTGGCCTTTTGGCCCATAACTATGGTCTATAATCTTACTGGCCACTGGGAATGTGTAGGATGGGGAGAGACAACCTTTGACACTACAGACAAACACTGTAGTCAATTTAGAAATATTACTTGATTCAGCATTTCAGTAACAGATTTGGTGACAAGTAATTCATGCATTATTGCAGAAACTTCTAGATTGTTATGCCAAACCATTTAGTGTAGAGTCCAAGTAATATATTATCCTACTGTGGAAAACTGAGGCATATCTGGGTCTAGACGGAAGTAACTTGAGCTGTAGATGGCCTCAGCTGTAAAGTATTGCGCCATATCTAGTGCAAACTAAAGTAAAGTATCTCGCCATGACTGATCTTAGCAGATAACATAGATTTCTTTCTTAAAAAATGATTGCACACTTTTTGAAAGGAACAAAATACAAAGGTTTCCTTTAAAAATACATTGTAGATCATTGATTAAAGGACTTATCCAGTTGCTATTAGGGGCTGCAAAGGATTTTATTCTGTGTTTAAAACACACATACAGTGAAAATGATATCAAAAACAATCTAAATAATCCAAACAGAACAACAGTAAAAGCAGCGTTACATCTACCAATGACAAATAATCAGACACCCTCTAATGAAAACGGTGCTTAAAACATTCCAAACACTAAAAAATATGCACAAATTCAAAAAAATACACACATGTAATGACAATTACTATGTTTTTAAACCATAAAACATGTACACAAACTACAGCGCAATAAGCACATGTGAACAGCAGCAGTTCATGCGTTGACCCAATGTACGAGGGGCGTTCAAGTCAAACTGAGACTTTAGAGTTTATATAATAAAAGAACAAAGTTCAAGGAGTGGAAACTGCATTTATTTTTTTACATACTCCCCTGCTACATTTATACACTTATCCCTGCGTTTAAGTAATGCCTGGAAAGCTTCAGCATAGAAAGATTTGTCAGTACGCCTGAACCATCCTAGGACAGCCTGCTTCACCTCATCAGTGCTGAAATGCTGACCTCTGAGGAATTCTTTTAGGGGTCCAAACAGGTGGAAATCACTCGGAGCGAGGTCCGGGCTGTAAGGGAGATGTGGCAATACCTCCTAGCTGAGTTGCTGCATTGTGCATGTAGTGTGGGGATTAGTATGATCTTGTTACACAGGATGCCCTTAGTGATCAAACCTAGGCCGTTTTTTCTGCAGATGCATATGCACATCACTCAGAACATGACAGTGATATTCACTGTTAATAGTGGCACCACAGGGAAGAAAATCCACATAAATACCTCTACATATGTCCCAGAAAACACTTGCCATTTTTTTACCTGCAGACGGAATTGTTGGAAATGTTTTTGGTGGTGGTGAGTCCGCATGCTTACACTGCTTTTGATGATCATTTTGATTCTGGAGTGAAATGATGTTCCCAGGTTTCTTCACATGTAACGATACAACGGACATATGGCCATCTTTGAAATGTTTACACCATTCAAATGTCTTACTGCGGCTGAGCGTCTCCTCAACGTACTATGCATGAAGTCTTCTTTAGATATCAGCGGCTTTTACTCCTTCATTCATAAGAAACTTCATCACCACACGCCGTTCCATGCACGCACTAACACTGTCGTTTGCCATCTTGATTAACGGTCTCTAGACTGGCCCACAACATGTGCGCTGCCTATCTGTAAATGGACACACTCGCCATTTACTACTGTGTGTAGTGCCGCTACGCTAGCATCCCTTTTATATCTGTAAAATTAAAAGTCCCAGTTTAACTTGAACGCCCCTCGTATATTCACATCCTAGTAACCAAAGTGCTTCCACCACCATGTGTCACTATTCAGGGAAGCCTCTTACCAAATATTGTGAGCCTTTAGGTTATAAATGGTCATACATGCTCAGGTTGAATAGTCATCCAGTAGCCTCCTGGTTAGAGCTGTATAGAACACCTCCACTTACACTGTTCAGAGTTTACCAGAGCTTTTGAGTCGCTGCAACCCTCAGACTGCACTGTATTTTTGGAAAAATGTTTTATGATTTAAAAATCTAGTAATTGTCATTGCATGTGTATTTATTTGCATTTGTGATCATTTTTTTAGTGATTGGAATGTTTTAAGCACCATTTCCATTAGAAGATGATTTATTGTTTGTCATTGGTGGATTTAGCTTTGCTTCTACTGTTTTTCTTTGATTTGTTACAATTGGTATCACACTGGCACAGCAGCTGCTTTATTCTGCACACAAGTTATTTCTTTTTTTAATATTTTTTGATCTTTTTGATTTTTTTTTTTTGTAATCGAATGCCTTTTATGTCCTCCTTAGGTTTTCCAGAAAAGATAACCTCAAAACAGAGGTATCGGCTGCTCGGGAACAGTCTGAACGTGCATATTGTTGCCAGACTCGTCACCCTCCTACTTCAGTCACATTGATTCAGCTTCAAGGATCAACAAGACCCCAGACTTTTTTTTTTTATCCTAAATATTTGAATTAGATTGAATAAATTAAATAATAAACACTTTTTTATTCTCTTTTTTTATCATTTGTTCGGAACTTTGTCCACCAATAACTGATGTTTAATTTTAGCATAGTCATTGATAGGTTAAATCAGCTGTTGGTTCAATCAGCTGTTGGTTCCTTGTATATCTTGGGGGCCTCAGTAGGGAGATATCTCAGAATTTCCAAAATTCCTTGTAGGAGGTAACTGAGATGCAAACTAGCACTGGTGATTCCATCCACAATAAATGGACTGCACACAAACATCTTGAAAGCTTTTAGTAAAATGTCAAGTAGATGCCTTAAAGGAGAAAAGGAGAAGTATAGCACAAAGATCTTTTGGCCATACTTCTCCTGTGGGTCACAGTAGTGCACTTAGTTCTGCACTCCCGTGACCCCAGATTCAGCACAACAGCAGGCTAAAGCCCACTGTTGACTGCCATCACAGATCCAGTCCAGGCTCTGCAGGAATCCCAACAATAATGCAAGGGGTTTGCCCAAAAGCCTGACCAGCAGCTGGCTCAGCCTCTCAGGATATTGCTGAGAGCCTAAAGCCTGCCATAGATGATTCAAATCTCAGCCAATTCAGCAGGAACCAGCCATGACTTGAACTATGTATGGGCAGGCTGATCAGCTTGGGAATAACCAGCCTGTCGTATTTTACATGCAAATATTGCTAGTGGCTATTATAGCCGCTAACAGAAATCACTGTGTTTTCACGGTGGGGATGGCTCCTCCTGTCTCCCCACCAGAAGAACACAACTGCTTTGCGGGAGGGATTCCCCCATTAGTGTTGATGGGACAATTGAGCAATTTTTTTTGTATATGGCCAGTTTGAGCCAGCCGCTCCCAGCCTGGAACTCCAATAAGCACTGGAGGGGCAGAGCAGAGATCAGTAACTGAGAGCCACCGCTCTGTGTTTAGAGCAGACCCAAGAACTGAGCAGTCAGCAGTCTTTGACCGCTCAATTCTCAGCACTAGAGCCAGTGGGGGTCAGCTGCAGCTTGGATTGATTCTGGAAAAGAACAGACAAGGGCGCACTCTCATCGTGCATTACCGTGGTAGAACACGTGTTTATTGAATAAAAAGAGGATATATACTCACAAACCAACGTGATTAAAAGCAGTATAAGTGGTCCACAAAGACAGTCACAATACATCTGTGTCTAATGATGCGGATAAACTTACGCATTTCGGGAGCTGAACTCTGAGTAAGGGGGTTTAAGCTCCCGAAACGCGTCAGTTTATCCGCATCATTAGACACAGAAGTATTGTGACTGTCTTTGTGGACCACTTATACTGCTTTTAATCACGTTGGTTTGTGAGTATATATCCTCTTTTTATTCAATAAACACGTGTTCTACCGCGGTAATGCACGATGAGAGTGCGCCCTTGTCTGTTCTTTTCCACTAGTGGTCAGATTTCCCGATCTTAGAGGGGCAGCGCCTCTTCGGTTGGCATTTTGGCATCTCCTTGGTTGTATGAAGACTGGAGCGCTGGTTTCGTTCGTTTATCTTTTGGATTGATTCTGCAGCCATCAGCAGGTGAGTGTGCAGGTTTGTTTGTTTTTTTTTTAATTCCTGCACTTCTCTTTTAAAGTGCTTCAGACCAGGTCCCTGTTGTGAAGGTTTTACTTGAATAAAGATTCATAACACTTAAAGATTCATGTGTTGTCCATTTATTTTCAATGACGACATTTCATTATGACTAGCTGGATGACCCACTTGCATGAGTGACAGGTGAATGACCCGTGTTTACTGTGCAGAGGGGAAGCTGCTTGCACAGAACCCAGAAGACCATGGTTTTTCACTGTATGTATTGGAGACCACTAGAGTGATTTTCATCATTCGCAGTAGCTCTCTGGATATAGGATATGGATATTTATATCGATCCAAGCTAGCCCAATTTAAGTATACAAAAATTATATCGTAACTCCTGCAGTTCACCTTTAAAGGTACCGTATGTTTATTTAATATGAGTACTAAGTCTCATCAATCTTATCTTTGTTGATAGGATATTGTTGTGATCTGCAGATTTGTTGAACTGTACACCAGTTATAAAGATGCATTTCCTGATTACTTGGGGATACCACATATTTTCTCATCTCTGACCTGTGTACAACTTAACTAAATGATTAGGTCTACAGTTATTTAATTACCACTTACCAGACTGCATTGGGCCTATCCAATGAAATGCAAATTAATATTCTGTATCATTAAACTGATGTTTGCATGTAGATAAAGTGTAATTATATACTGGAGCAGTCAAGGGAAACTTGAGTCTAATGGAAAAGTAGAATTTTTTTTTTACAATTAGCTGACTAGAATATGCTGTCCAGGACCTGACATCCTAAAATACGTTGTGTAACTTTCCCCTTCAGAACAATTGCTTGTAATTGAACAGCAATCTGCCTAAAGCACAGTGGCAAAGTGGTTAGCACTATCATCTGGCAGTACTAGGGTTGTTGGTTTGAATCCCAATCATGGCACTACCTGCCCAGAGTTTGCATGTTCTTCCTGTGGCTGCTTAGATTTCATCCGGATACTCTGATTTCCTCCCACACTTCAAAGACAGGTTAATTGGCCCTAGTATGTGTATGAATGTGAGTTAGGGACCTTAGATTGTATGCTGCTTGAGGGTTAGGAACTGATGTGAATGTACAATATATGTAAATGCACTGTGTAATTGGATGGTGCCATATAAGTACCTATAATAAATAAAGCTGATGGCCGCTGGCAGAACAGAAAAAACTAACCTGAGTCCTTCATTCACAAGTAGGAAGTGGATAGGGGAATCCTCCCTCTGTATCATTGTATTGCCATTGACAGCGAGACTTCCCCACCATCAGAATACACAGATCGACCGGAGATTTTCCAGCAGGGCGATTGCAAAGGGTAAGCTGTCATTTACTGTCCTGCATTTCAGATGGAATGTGATTGCATTCTTAAGCAGAGCACCTTCTGGGCTCACCAGGGCTGCCACTGTGTCCCATATTTTTGCACAGTTTTTCCATGATGCAAATGGATCAGTTCAGGACTTTGATGTGAAAGTGGGGGGCTGATGACTCTGATGTGAAGGGGGAGGTACTGAGGACTCTGATATGAAAGGCAGGGAATGAGGACATTGATATAAAAGGGAGACCTGAGGACTCTGATGAAGAAGAGGGACTGAGAACCTTGATATAAAAGGGAGGGCTGAGGTTTCTGATGCAATGATGTGAAAGAGAGAGGGGAAGACTGAGTACTCAGATGTGAATTGGGGACTCTGCTTTAATAGAAGGACCCCATTTTAGACTGAGGTGACTCAAGATTTTCCGTATTTTCCTTTTAAATGGTGCTGTCACATAAATAAGGTTAGTAATAGGAAAGAATAAATCAATTTCTACTTATTTTGTTGATTCTGAAAGACTAAATGGCTTGAAGGGCTATAGCAAATTATTATAAAATAATGGGCTAAGAAATTGTTTCTATAATTTAAACCATTCTGACTAAAACCCACCATAGATGGCTCAGCAGGGACCAGCCAAGATTCGAACAATCTATAGGCAGGCTGATTCGATTGTTGTACGACTTGGGTACAGTTAGCCTGTCAGATTTTTCATGCGATTGCCAGCAGCTGTAGCCACTAGCAATAATCACTGTGTTATCTTGGTGGGATGGCACCCCTTGCCAGGAGAACACAATAGCTCCATGGGAGGGATTCCCCCATCAACACTAACTGTGGTGAAGGGGAATCAAGATTTGCTGTGGTTGCAGAAAAGAAAATCACATCATCTATGGCCTGCTTAAATAGAGAAGTAAAGTACATAGGTTTACCAGTGGGACCTCAAAATAGTTACAATGAGATGTCAGGTTATGGTTAGGGTCATTGAAGGACAGGATAACACTGTAGTGGAGTCACCAATCTTCCATAGGTTATTAACATTCACACTCATAGCAGCTCCTAAATTGTCACAAAGGTCATCAAGTTGATGGATTTTAAACAAGAATACTTTACGCACGTTTGAAATGTAACCAGTCAGCACTTTGTCCCCTCCCATTACTTGAGTTAAACAATTAATGTGAACGAAGGACTTGTGTTAACTATGTGTCCTGGTTTGTGAGAATGAATGATTCTATAAGGACAAAGTACATGCAGGGAGATATTTCAGGCTCAATGACTGCTTTCACCTTACTGCCTGGGGAAAGCCAACCATGAACATGCTTTCTCCAGGCCATTTCTCAAGGCATTTTCTGTGGGAGTTATTGTTTATTTCTGGACTGATATGTCAGCTTGGGGAGCCATCGAAAGCCAGGGAGAGAAGGGACACGCTGCATGACCAGTAAGTGTTGTTACATTGCTGCTAACACTGTGGAGCTATTTGTTGGAAAAACAAAAATTTTAACAGTAGCCCTGAGATGGATTAAAGTAGAACTATAGGCAAAACTTTTTTTTTTCTCATTTTGGATAAAGGTACGGAGGGTTCTATCCCTTCAGTTTATTTTTTGTCACCTGTGTCTCATTGGAGAGATTTACCTTCACTTCCTGTCCCATAGACAAAGCAGGAAGTGAGAAAAAATCCCTGCATATTAAGGGTATTCCTTGGGAACCCCCAGGTCACTTGAACTAGTGTTCCTATTGGAAAATTTCCCTTCTTTACTTTTCTGGAGTCAACCCAAAATTTGGGTTTTCTTTTATTTTCACTTTCAGTGATAAATTTGGTTGAGGTACATATGTGTTGCCCAATTTGTATTGTCTGTATTGGTATGACTATGTGAGACACCAAAATGCCTAAAAGTTCATCCTCCCTTGTGAAGTGGCAATGGCTCAGCTTTGACTGACTGCCTTATTCTCCTGGTTTACTGAACGACCATGGAGGTTGCAGCTGAGCCCCAGAACTTCCTGGCTATGTTACCTTATGGATGACCTGGATCTGTTGTAACCAATGAGATTTCAGCAGTTTTTTTCTCATAAGCAGCAGAAGAATGATAGAATGTGATTAATTACTATAAGTAATACATTTCCAAATGCAGACAAGATGCTTGAACATTGTTTTTAGAGGAACCCAGCAGTCATCAAGGGATACAGAATTTTCGGATTACTGATTTGCATCTTCTGTTTCAGGTCAGAGAAGTTGGATCTTTTACAACCAGAATTAGGGCTTATAAATGCACTCCTTGAGGCCATAATGAGTTTCAAAATAGTTTTTAGCCAATGGAGCTCATTTGAGGTAGTTTGTGATCTCTCTAGTGATAACTAAAGATCTACATACAGTATCTCACAGAAGTGAGTACACCCCTCACATTTTTGTCAATATTTTATTCTATCTTTTCATGTGACAACACTGAAGAAATTACACTTTGCTACGATTTAAAGTAGTGCGTGTGCAGCTTGTATAACAGTGTAAATTTGCTGTCCCCTCAAAATAACTCAACACACAGCCATTAATGTCTAAACCGCTGGCAACAAAAGTGAGTACACCCCTAAGTGAAAATCTCCAAATTGGGTCCAAAGTGTCAATATTTTGTGTGGTCACCATTATTTTCCTGCACTGCCTTAACCCTCTTGGGCATGGATTTCACCAGAGCTTCACAGGTTGCCACTGCAGTCCTCTTCCACGCCTCCATGATGACATCACGGAGCTAGTGGATGTTAGAGACCTTGCGCTCCTCCACCTTTTGTTTGAGAATGCCCCACAGATGCTCAAAAGGGTTTAGGTCTGGAGACATGCTTGGCCAGTCCATCACCTTTACCCTCAGCTTCTTTAGCAAGGGGGTGGTCATCTTAGAGGTGTGTTTAGGGTCGTTAGTATGTTGGAATACTGCTCTGCAGCCCACTCTCAGAAGGGAGGGATCATGCTCTGCTTCAGTATGTCACAGTACATGTTGGCATTCATGGTTCCTTCAATGAACTGTAGCTCCCCAGTGCCAGCAGCACTTGTGCAGCCCCAGACCATGACACTCCCACCACCATGTTTGACTGTAGGCAAGACACACTTGTCTTCGTACTCACCATCTGATTGCCACCACACACGCTTGACACCATCTGAACCAAATAAGTTTATCCATGTCCTTAGTCTTCAGCAAACTGTTTGTGGGCTTTCTTGTGCATCATCTTTAGAAGAGGCTTCCTTCTGGGACGACAGCCATGCAGACCAATTTGATGCAGTGTGCTGCGCATTGTCTGAGCACTGACAGGCTGACCCCCCACCCCTTAAACCTCTGCAGCAATGCTGGCAGCAATCATGCGTCTATTTCCCAAAGCACGTGCACTCAACTTCTTTGGTCGACCATGGCGAGGCCTGTTCTGAGTGGAACCTGTCCTGTTAAACCACTGTATGGTCTTGGCCACCGTGCTGCAGCTCAGTTTTAGGGTCTTAGCAATCTTCTTATAGCCTAAACCATCTTTATGTAGAGCAACAATTCTTTTTTTCAGATCCTCAGAAAGTTCTTTGTCATGAGGTGCCATGTTGAACTTCCAGTGACCAGTGTGAGAGAGTGAGAGCGATAATACCAAAATTTAACAAACCTGCTCCCCATTCACACCTGAGACCTTGTAACACTAACAAATCACATGACCCCGGGGAGGAAAAATGGCTAATTGGGCCCAATTTGGACATTTTCATTTAGGGGTGTACTCACTTTTGTTGCCAGCGGTTTAGACATTAATGGCTGTGTGTTGAGTTATTTTGAGGGGACAGCAAATTTACACTCTTGTACAAGCTGTACACTCACTACTTTACATCGTAGCAAAGTGTCATTTCTTCTGTGTTGTTGCATGAAAAGATATAATAAAATATTTACAAAAATGTGAGGGGTGTGCTCATTTCTGTGAGATACTGTAGGACAGTGGTCGGCAAGCCGCGGCTCGCGAGCCACATGCGGCTCTTTACACACTTTAATGCGGCTCTTCTGTGGGCCGGGCGCCTGCTCCCCTCCCTCCTCTCGGGCGGCCGCCCCAAAAGTCAGGACTCTGCAGCTAGCTAGCAATGGGCAAACTACGGCCCGGCGGACCTTTTAATCTGGCCCGCGGAGCGTGGCAAACATTGGCTGTCAGGATGTAGGTGGGGCAGCGTGACGAACTCCTCTCCTCTCACAGTCCGCCCTGAAGACCGGAACGGCGCGGGAACACGGCGAGAGGAACGCGCGGAGCAAAGGTAAGTGAATTGACACAATATGGGGAATGAATTACTATAGGGGGGATGAATTACTATATGGGGGATGAATTACTATAGGGGGGATGAATTACTATAGGGGGGATGAATTACTATGGGGGATGAATTACTATATGGGGGATGAATTACTATGGGGGATGAATTACTATATGGGGGATGAATTACTATGGGGATGAATTCCTATATGGGGGATGTATTTTCAGTTTTAAAAATGTGGCTCTCAAAATAAATTTCAATCGTGGTTTTGGCGAGATTTGGCTCAGTTGAAAAAAAAAGGTTGCCCACCACTGGTCTAGGGTACCAGAAAATGCACTTTTACATATCTGATCTTCAGCTCTTACAGGCTCTCTCCGGGCTATAAGACCAGTTCCTATTCCCACCTATGCTCCAGTGGCCCTCTAAAATCATGAAATACAATTAAATCAAATAAAATCCCTGCATTACTCCCAGTTAGTACCTAAATAAAATCCTACTGCCAGGAGCAGCTACCACTATAGACTTGTAGTCACACCACAAAAACAATAAATTGTATATGTGACAAATAGAGAGGTAATCCATCTATCCAATAAACATACACAAAATGTTATCAAACACTCAATATAGTATTATATGAATCTTTTTGGTAACATTTTTTGCATGATTATTGGATAATAGGTGGAGCTCTTCACTATTTTTCATATATCAAATACAATGCAGGGCCTATAGCCATGCACTGGACAGGAGGACACCAAAGTACAGTCCACATGCTGGAGCATAGGGCAGAAGTTGGGATCAGATAAGTGAAGCATTTTTTCCGGTATCCACGATCAAAATGAGTGTCTAACCCTTACCGTGCCTGGCAAACCTCACTACAAGGTAAGATTTTTGCTTTCCCTAGAGATAGGCTCTTAGTAATAAATACCCCACCTTTTTGTTAGCCAATGAACTTAAAAAAAAAAAGTACCGTAGCTATTTTCTTAACAAAAAAAAAGCCTCCTTTGCCATACATCACACTTGTCGGAGATACAGTACATGGTAACTGTGACACAGACAGCAATAAAAACTGACAGGTTCTAATTTTGCCTCGTTTAATCCACAAATAAAAAACTTGGCTGTTCCACTTTTATGCCTTTATGTAAAACAGTTCTGGGTGGAGTTGAGACTCAAGTCTGTATTTCAGTGGTTATCAGTGCTAGAGGTTCATGTAGACTGGATTTTGGAGAATGGACACTCTCGTCGTCCATACAATGTCTGTCCGCCCCCCGCCTTCGCCAATATCTCCTGCAGCTCTGCCAAGAGTCTATTGCGTTTCTCTGTGTCAATGAAGAAGAATGTACCATTAACATAACAGTCCTGTGGGTACGAATAGACCACCAGCTGGAGGTCCTGGAGCTGCAAACAGTTCTGAAAGAGACTCTTCAGTGCCTGAAAGGATAATGGATTCATGGAGAGTACCAGGCACCGCAAATGGGAACAGCGGCAGAGTGCGGGCACCAGGACCGACAGGGTGTGGTCACTTAGCCAGCACAAACGGATGTCCAGATAAAGGAGGGAGGAGGAGATGGCGGCCAGGAGCTGGAGGAAGGGAAGAAGGAGGTGCGCAGACAGGTTATGCCCTCTTAGGTCCAACTTTTTAAGGGTGGAGATGTGGAGGCTCTTAGACAAATAATATAAATCTACCGGGAGCAGGTCACAGTGTCCCAATTCCAAACTCTCCAGCGGCTCTTGTATTCCCCTGAAAAGAAAAAGTGTGCACAGCGTTACCATATTATTATTATTATACAGTATTTATAAAGCGCCAATAGTTCGCTCAGCGCTGTACATTACAAAGGGGGACAGAACATGTGACAGAACAATACCAATACAATGCAAAACATGAGGGGATCGAGGGCCCTGTTCTTTGGAGCTTACAATCTAGGAGGGAGGGGATGGTGGCACAGGAGGAGATAGCTGTGGGGGATGGAGTGGAGGGAAGCGTGGAGGAGGTCGGCAGATTAGCAGGGGTGGGGTAGGCTTCCCTGAAGAGGTGGATTTTCAGGGTGCGCCTAAAGGAGAGGAGAGGAGGTGATAATCTGATGGGTTGGGGCAGGGAGTTCCAGAGGATGGGTGACACCCTGGAGAAGTCCTGGAGGCGGGCATGGGAGGAGACCAGGGAACTAGAGAGAAGGAGGTCTTGTGAGGAGCGGAGTGTGCGTGTTGGGTGGTACTTGGATATTAGGTCAGTGATGTAGTTCGGGGCAGTATGGTGGACGGCTTTGTACATCAGTGTTAGGATTTTGAATTTGATCCGTTGCGCAATCAAAAGCCAGTGGAGGGATTGGCAGAGGGGGGTGGCAGAAACGGAGTGGTTGGAAAGGTGAATGAGTCTGGCAGCCGTATTCAGGATGGACTGAAGCGGGGATAGCCAGCGGCGAGGCAGGCCAGTGAGGAGGGAGTTGCAGTAGTCGAGTCGTGATATGATGAGGGAGTGGATGAGCTGTTTAGTGGTTTCTGGGGTTAGGAACGTGCGGATTTTGGCGATGTTGCGGAAGTGGAGTCTGCACAAGTTACCATATAACGAATTCAGGAGCAATTCAGTCAGGTTAGGAGCTGGCAGCAATTTTAAAGGATCAAGAAGTAATATTTATTTTAACTATTTTTAGTTTTGGTTAGAATGGAGAGGGATTAGAACCCCTGTCAGTTTTTTATTGCTGTCTGTGCCCCCGTTAGGGAGATCCCCTCTATTTGTCTTGTTTACCATTATCATTGAAAGTGAAAGTAAAAGAAAATCTCAAATTTTGGGTTGTCCGCAGAAAAGTAATAGAGGAGAAATCTTCCAATGGGGACACGAGTTCTGGTGACCTGGGGGTCCCAAAGGAATTCCCTTACTTTGCAGAGATTTCCTCTCCCTTCCTGTTTGGCTATGGAACAGGAAGTGAAGGAAAATCTCCATAATGGGTCAGATGGTAAAAAAAATCAGACAGGGGATATAACCCTCCCTTGCTCTATCCGAAATGAAAAAAAAAAGTTTTTCCTATAGTTCTATTTTAAGATGATGTCTGACATCCTGCCCTTATGTCTTCTAATGAGATCTCCCTGCCATAATTACCTGCTCTGTACCCGCCTACCTTTATGTGTTCCCACCCATTTTTGTGTGGCTTTGATAATTAAAATAGACCATGTAATTTTTTCTGAAAAGCTCTACCTTTTATCATTAAATAGCCATTTGAGCTCCAGTCCGATACCTGTGCCTATGATTTCTCCCCCTCCTCCAATGATTAGACTGTAACATTGTAATTTTGTAGCAGGTCACATTGTGAGAGGCTGTACAGGGGTTGATCTGTGTCAGACATTTGTAAATACAGCCAAGAACTGCACAGGCACCAGGATGGATTTACTTGATTTTGTTATCTCATCTCATCCTGGTAGTAGATTCTGACCCTGGATAATGCTTGAACAAAGATAGTGCTGTCCTTCCAGAGAGATAAGCTGCAGAAGACACTGGGGGAAATGTATAAAACTGGTATATCATGTGCAGCTGGGCATGGCAGCCAATCAGCTTCTAACTTTAGCTTGTTCAGTTAAGTTTTGACAATAAAACCTGGAAGCTGATTGGTTTCTGTGTGGAGCTGCTCCAGGTTTTGCACCATGCAGTTTTAATAAATAACCGCCGTTGTCGGGGAGTACTGTGATCTCTGTGAAAGGTAATAAATACCTGGAAATGTTACAATGAGGAGCCCGGGGCATAATTCACCCCCTTTAAGCCATTCTGCACTTTTTTTTTCTTACCTTGTGAACAAGATATATTGACAGCTAAGTCAGCCTTCCAGATCCATCGTCTTCACTGTTTCCAGGTGCGGTGGGCATGTGGCATAGCGTGGGTTGTCAGCACCCGGGGCGAGGCAAGTAATTTGTGCCCCCTATCCCATGAACTTTTAGATAACCGCACATTGATCACACCCCCAGATAACTCCGCATTCTGATCACACCCCCAGATACCTCCACCCTGATCACACCCCCAGATCCCCCCATCTCTACTCTGATCACACCCCCAAATTCCCTCCCCCATCCCTCCACTCTGGTCACAACTCCAGATCCCTCCACTGTGATTACACCACCAGATACCATATTCCTCCACTCTGATCACACCCCCAGATAGCTCTCCTCATCCCTCCACTCTGGTCACACCTCCAGATTCCCCCCCATCCCTCCACTCTGGTTACACCTCCATATTTCCCCCCATCCCTCCACTCTGGTCACACCTCCAGATTTCCCCCCATCCCTCCACTCTGGTTACACCTCCAGATCCCTCCACTGTGATCACACCACCAGATATCAGATCCCTCCACTCTGATCACACCCCCAGATAGCACTCCCCATCCCTCCACTCTGATCACACCTCCAGATCCCTCCACTGTGATCACACCACCAGATATCAGATCCCTCCACTCTGATCACACCCCCAGATAGCGCTCCCCATCCCTCCACTCTGACCACACCTCCAGATTCCCCCCCATCCCTCCACTCTGGTTACACCTCCAGATCCCCTCCACTGTGATCACACCACCAGATATCAGATCCCTCCACTCTGATCACACCCCCAGATAGCACTCCCCATCCCTCCACTCTGATCACACCTCCAGATCCCTCCACTGTGATCACACCACCAGATATCAGATCCCTCCACTCTGATCACACCCCCAGATAGCGCTCCCCATCCCTCCACTCTGACCACACCTCCAGATTCCCCCCATCCCTCCACTCTGGTTACACCTCCAGATCCCTCCACTGTGATCACACCACCAGATATCAGATCCCTCCACTCTGATCACACCCCCAGATAGCGCTCCCCATCCCTCCACTCTGATCACACCTCCAGATCCCTCCAATCTGATCACACCCCCAGATACCCCACCAGATCCCTCCACTCTGCCCCCCCCCCCGAATACCCCCTCCCCCATCACACACACAATCCACCCCACATCTCACTGGTCCTGCAGTACCAGGGACAAGAGGGTTAGCTGTGTCCTGTGTAAGCATTAGAATATCTCCAGCAGGATTTCCAGGGGTGGCAGCAGCTGCAGCAACCAGTGTGGAGCCTCCTTCACCCTGACCTTGTCCTCCGCCAGCATCCCAGGCCTAACTTTCCCCAGCACAGCATGGCGCCCACTTCCTGCAAACATTCGGGATCCAGCTCTGCCCACCACTCTGCCCTCCTCTGCATGCTTGGATTCGTTCTCTCTGCTTTCTCTGTGATAGCAACTAAATTAAAACCTCCACGCTGCACCCTCTCTCTTACCAGGCACTGGGTGGAGGTTTTAGTTTGCCTGGGTTATGTCTACATACCTCTAAATGTTGATCGCACTGGCTCCCCCCCTACGCCACTGCGGTTGGCCACTAATTTAGCACTGAAGATGTAGGTGCAGACTCTTCTTCTGGATCCCAAGAGAACCCTGCTGCTGGACAGCCAATAGTACGGTGACTAGATGTCCCCAGTTTCCAGGGACAGTCCACAATTTTGGGGGGCTGTCCCCAGGGAACAAAACAACCCTGATTTCCTCCCCTGTTAAAAGAAATTGTCCCCAGCTTTGATAATGGCTTCCACGACCCATGTTATTAAACCATACTCCCTTAAAGTGTAACTAAAGGCAAAACTTTTTTGTTTTAGTTTTGGATAGAGCGGAGAGGGATTCAAACACCTGTCAGTGTTTTTGCTGTCTGTGTCCCCGTTAGGAAGATTCACCCTCTCTATTTTTCCTGTTTACTGTTATCCTCAAATGTGAAAGTAAAAGAAAAGCTCACATTTTGGGTTGACACCAGAACACTAATAGATGGGAAATCTTCCAATAGGGACACATCTGGATTTCTTTGGACACTGTTGACACATCGGGATTTCCTCTCAATTCTTGTTTTGGCTATGGCACAGGAAGTGAAGGAAAACCTCCCCAATGGGATACAGGTGGCATAAAAAAAAACTGGTTATAAACCTCATTAACTCTATCCAAAATGGAAAAAAAAAAAAAGGTTTGCCTTTTGTTACACTTTAAGTCCCTCGCACTGTTAGCACATTTTGGCCACACCCAGCATTTGGAGAGCCACGCTTCACGTGCTATTATCATCCTCACCCCCTGCTCCACCCATGTCCTACCTTCAATAAAAGTGTACATGGTCAGTAAAAATCTGGTCACCTTAGCCAATAAGAAGTGTCCACGTCATCCCCAAAGTGATGTGGACACCTTGAAGAAGGACCCTGCCTTCTGTAAACATAGGAAGACAGAAGACTCTGGTTAGTTAGAAGATGATGAGAGATAGGGAAGCCTGAAGATCAGCTTTAACAAGAAATATAAACATGTATCTGATGACAGGTCCACTTTAAGTGCCTCCCTCCCAACACTTTACAATGCCATTTTCCATATTGTTTTTGAAGATACATCACCATCTCACCCCAGCAGCTGCTGCAAGCATCCTGCTAGGGAGGAAGATCTGAGGTTTAGCTCCTTCAGGGATCTCAGCTGTCTGATGATCGTGGTGAATTTCTTCATGGCGTCCTCTGTGCCAGGGGTTGGCCTCTGGATGCTGTCGAAGCAGCAGAGCAGTTTGAGGCTGCGCAGGGAGCGGAACTTCACCATGACAGGCAGAATGGTATTGAGCTCATCCAGGGTCTTACTGTACAGTTCAATCATGCGCACCCCTGTTGCGTTCAGGAGCTCCAGCAGCTCAACTGTGTTACACAAGGGCAGCATACAGACATGTAGGTTACGGCAATGCAGGTGTAGGGGTCCATGCATGCTCTTATGGAGTACCTCCTTTAGGATGGGGTACATTGTGCTGTATACAAAGAGGTCTATCCTAACCTCTACATAAACGGAGCTGAGGGAAGTGATTGGGGCCAATGTGGAATTGCTGACTTCCTGCTTCCTCAGCCTTGCTTGTGTGGCTTCATCACAACATCTCTTAGAGAGATCGATGCACGTCTTGGCCGGGGTCATTATGTGTGAACACAGACTATGGTGGAGTTCATTCAAGTTGAAGCCGTGGGCACCCGTCATGTCCAGTATGAGTAACTGCTGCCTCCTGCACAACAAGTGAGAAACATTACTATGAATGGAGCAATAGAAATGTATTGGATGTCGAGAAACTTCAAAACATAAGCTATTTCAGTTCAGAGTGGAGTACATCTTTAGGGCACCCCCATAAAGGAAATGTTTGCCTTTCTATCTAAAAAGAGAGATCCCAACCAAAAACTGATATTCTGGCCTTTGGCGGCTGCTGGAAACTTTCTAACTTTAAAACCCCATTCACACTTGTGCAACTTGTTATGCGACTTTGGAAATCAAAGTTACATGACAAGTGGTACCTCATGTTTTTCAACGATAACCATTCATATATGTGCGACTTAAAGTTGCAGAGACTTCAAAGTAGTTTATGTACTACTTTGGTCCGACTTTCAGGCAACTTGAAGGCCACAGACGTCAATGTTAACCCTCAAAAATTGCATTAAAGTGATACCTGAATGTTTTACATGCAACAGAGTGCAACAGCAGGTCTGACTTTACAGAGGGACAAGTCACATCCAAGTCACACCCATCCAAAGTTGTGTCAAAGTTGCACCAAAGTCGTACTCAAAAGGTGCACAACTTTAGAGTCCTACAAGTGTGAATGGAGCCCAAAGGAAACCTCTACAGAGGATGTAAGCTGCCACTGTAAAATTCTTCTGAAAATATAAATTCTCTAGCTGTCATGTTGGTCCAGTGGCTTTAAGCAACTGGCATATTCAAAAGATCAACATTGGCAATGTTATCTCTCGGTACAGGTTTCCCTAGGGAGTTGTGGAGATCTCTGTGCTGGGGCAAGTGACTCAGCAACACTAGACTCCGGCAATAATTGAGTGATACATTTTCTGGCCTTTTAGCTCAAAAGACATTCATGAAATGGTTCTGTGTGAGTTTTACTACATTTTACAGTTACAGTTGTGTTCAAAATAATAGCAGTGTGTTGAAAAAAGTGAATAAAGCTCAAAATCCTTCTAATAGCTTTTATTTCCATTCACACAAATGCATTGGGAACACGACACATTCTATTCCAAATCAAAACATGAAGAAAAACATATCAAATTTGTGTTGTTCCTCTAAAAAATTTGAAGAAAAGTGAATATTAGACTGTTCAAAAAAATTGCAGTGTTTGTATTCTTCTTTACAAACTCAAACATTCACTATATAAACTGAAAAATGTTTGAAGATTTTGCTTTCCTTTGAATCACTTAATGAATATTTGGTTGTAGTCGCACTGTTTCTGAGAACTGCTGTACATCTGTGTTGCATGGAGTCACCCAACTTCTGGCACCTGTGAACAGGTATTCCAGCCCAGGATGATTGGACTACATTCCACAGTTCTTCTCTATTTCTTGGTTTTGCCTCAGAAACTGCATTTTTGATGTCACCCCACAAGTTTTTTATTGGATTAAGATCCGGGGATTGGGCTGGCCACTCCATAACGTCAATCTTGTTGGTCTGGAACCAAGATGTTGCACGTTTACTGATGTGTTTGGGGTCGTTGTCTAGTTGGAACACCCATTTCAAGGGCATTTCCTCTTCAGCATAAGGCAGCATGACCTCTTCAAGTTTTCTGATGTATTCAAACTGATCCATGATCCCTGGTATGCGATAAATAGGCCCAATACCGTAGTATGAGAAACATCCCCATATCACGATGCTTGCGCAACCATGCTTCACTGTCTTCACAGTGTACTGTGGCTTGAATTCAGTGTTTGGGGGTCGTCTGACAAACTGTCTCCCGGCCACTAGACCCAAAAAGAACAATCTTACTTTCATCAGTCCACAAAATGTTGCGCCATTTCTCTTTAGGCCAGTTAATGTGCTCTTTGGCAAATTGTAACCTCTTCAGCACATGTCTTTTTTTCAACAGTGGGACTTTGCGGGGGCTTCTTGCAGATAGCTTGGCTTCACATAGGCGTCTTCTAATTGTAACAGTACTCACAGGGAACTTTACACCTTCTTTGATCTTCCTGGGGCTGATTGTTGGCTGAGTCCTTGCCAGTTTGGCTATTCTTCTTTCCATTTGAATGGTAGTTTTTCGCTTTCTTCCACGTCTTACAGGTTTTGGTTGCCATTTTAAAGCATTTGCGATCATTTTAGCTGAGCAGCCTATCATTTTCTGCACTTCATTATATGTTTTCCCCTCTTTAATCAACTTTTTAATCAAGGTACGCTGTTCTTCTGAACAATGTCTGGAACGACCCATTTTCCTCAGAATTTCAGAGAGAAATGCACTGTAACCAGCATGTACAACATTTGCTGCCTTCCTTCCTTAAATAAGGGCAATAATTGCCACCTGTTTTTCAAAGAATGAATGACCTCACTAATAGAACTCCACACTGCTATTATTTTGAACATGCCCCTTTCAATTAGTGATTCAATTACACAGAATCAGCAGCATGCATGTCATGACTGTTGGGTCTGTTGGATTTCTATTACTCTACTACACCTGCTAGTAAATTATTTTCCATGTAGAAATATCATTTCTACCAAAAACAGTGATTGATCAGGTTAGTGATGTCTAACTGCTATTATTTTGAACACAACTGTATGTCCCCTCTCCCAGGTGTCTCAATCCTCCTCCTCTCGGATCAGTCAGTTACCTCTCCTGACTCTCTTTACTCAGGTAAGCCATAACACCCTTTATGACGGCTTCCGTGGACACACAGTTGTAATATAGGTGGAACTGGCCGAGGTTGTTTCCTAGCAGTGCCTGGAAGCTGAGGTTTGAGAAGGGCCATCGCTGCACCAAGTCCTGCAGTACCGAAGTCTTCTTCCCTAGGAAGGCAGCAGTGAAGAGTGGCGGGTAGAGACTGCAGGGAATGGAGTCCAACAACATGCGGAAGGAGGCTTGGTCACTCACCACCTTCTGTGCGCACAAACATGCCAGAGATGGCATGGCTTTTCGTTGTTCCTGAAAAGACAAACACAACACTCAGCAAGACAATATAAGGGAAAATGTATTGTTGGTTTCTATTATATTTGACATAATATTAGACCTTTCTGCTGTCTTTGATATAGTTGACCACACACTCCTGAAAAAAAATTCCACTTTCTTGGCCTCCAAAACTCTGCTCCCTATTGGTTCTCCTATCTATCTAAGCGCTCCTTCAGTGTCACCTAAAACCCTATTTCCTCCTCAATTCTTTCTCTTTCTGTAGGGGTCTCCAAAGGCTCTGTCTTTGGACCCCTTTTCTTTATCTACACTTTCTCCCTTGGTCAGTTGACAACCTTGCATGGCTTCTAATGCCATCTCTATGTTGACGACACCCAAATTTATCTCTCCACTCCACCAGTTCACCACTTTCAGTCTCTTCAGCGCATCACCAGTTTGCTCAACCGTTTCACAAATTAGTTCAAAACTGAACTCATAATATTTTCTACGCCCAACTTTTCCATCAAGGTCAATACCCACAACTATCAGTTCCACCCTTCATGTCAAGTGTTAAGTGTATTCCTAGACTCTGACCCCTCCTTTCAGTCTTCCTTGCCATCATTGTCCAAATTTTGCCACCTTCACCTCTACATTTCTAAAATAAGTACCTTCTTAACCATTGACACCAACAAGCTACTAATTCTCTTGTTTTAACTATACAACCCCCTCCTTATTGACCAACCTCTACACCGGCTATGCCTCCTTCAGTCTTTCATAATTGGTACTGCCAGGCTCTTCAACCTCCCCAACCGCTCAGTGTCCACCACCCCTCTCTGCCCACCACCCCTCCACTGGCTTCTGCTGGCCCAAAAAATAAAATTCTAAACTCTAATAATAACATGCAAAGCCATCCGCAACTCTGCCCAGAGCTACATCACCATCCTTGTCTCTAAACCATTTTCTTTGCTCCTATAAAGACCTCCTGTTATCTAGATTCCTTGTCACTTTCTCCCATGTTCACCTCCAGGACATCTGTAGAGCCTCTCCCATCCTCTAGAATTCCCTAGCTCAAACTGATCTTTTCAGGGAAGCCTATCCCACCTCTGCTGTACTTTTTCCAGCAACTCATCCCTACATAGGTATTATCCTTTTGTATTACTTGCACCTCCCTTTTAAATTGTAAGCTCTCACAAGCAAAGCCCTCCTAAAACTCGTCTTGAATTTTATCATGAGTGTACTGTATCCCTTTATAATATATTTTTAGCATCCTCATAGATGTAGTGTAGGTTGTTTGGTACATTTAGTAGTACATTTTAGCTCCTCTGTAATCATTGGAACAGGGATTGATTGTTTAGGCCTGCTCAGTGTTTTACAGGCTGCTGCTCTGATTACTTCCCCCTGTATTCTAGAGGATTCTATAATTATAGTTGGAGGAAGAACAGCGTGGGCAGCTTGAATATTTATGAAACTCTAACCAATCCATGGAGAGTTTGCCCAGTAGGTGGTGGTAATACTCATAAAAGGTTTGAGGCCTGAAACTGCAGGGCAGTGTGTTCCTGGGTCCAGTCCTGCTGGAGGAGACCCCCTGTGCAGGGACTCTACCCCTGGGGTTAGGCTTAGCTGGGAGGCCTATTTGCAAGCTTAGAGCGGTTCTTCACTCTGGGAAAAGAAAAATTAAAAGTCAGCAGCTAGAAATCCTGTAGCTGCTGTTTTTTAATAAAAAGACACTTACATGTCCAAGGATCCAGCGCTATCCTCACCCAGACTGGTTATTCACTAGCCTTTTGGCTCTCAGCATCGGCATCCCAACTGTGGGCAGCCGGCTATGCTGCTTTCGGCTTCACAGCCGGCTACCTACTGCATATGCGCGAGCCGTGCTGCACTTTTTGAATGGTCCCACAGTCTCTTGGGACCCATGATGTGTCCCAGAGGACTACAGGGAGGAAGTGGGAGGAAAACTTACACTTGGATCACTTAGGCTTTTCGAAGGAAATGGGAGTGGGTGCCTGTCAAAACCAGGTATCAGGCCCCTCCCAAAAAATGACAGGCAAAATATGGTGGGGGGGGGAGGAGGATTTCCGCTCTATGTCCTGGAATCAATTTGTGTTAAGAGAGAGCT